CGGGTAGGGTAGGTGCGTGATTACCTCTATAGTATGACAGGCACGCAGGCAGGCAGGTAGGTATCTCCATCGGACTCCATCCATCATCCTTCGGCTGGACGATGACCAACTAGAGTTCGGGGCTGTGCACTGACTTTACCTTTTTTCGATCCCGTCCCCAGATTGTAGAGGTATTTTGATCCTCGTACGGCAGGACCCATGTCTACTACGGTGCCATATCCTGCACAAAGGGGCGCACTGCCTCACGGGTACCTTCATGTGAGGCATGTGTGTGCGGCGCAGCTCCCGCGTGGCTGTCATCTAGTGGTACACTACCTATTTTTCCTATGTTGACGTCGCACACCCACCACACACACCAATGATGACCGACTTCGATGGACAGCCCCTACGACGTGTCATGTCTCCCTTCCGTCCCTCACGAATCTTTTCTGGTCTCCGGCCTGGCGTCTCTCCATACCTACCTACCTTACCGGCGGCTACGCGGCTAACTTGAGATCCGGTGCCGGGGCTTTGGGTAGAGACTTGACGGCACGCTGTTGCCCGATGAGACTGAAGGAGACACACACCATCGCGCGCTTACCACCAGTCAACCGCAACCGCAACCGCAACCGTTCCTTTTTTGGACCCTGGGCGTCGATTCGTTTCTAAAACCATCTTCTTGTCATTACCTACTAAATCGCCATGATGCACGGAAGCGAGATAGACGCAAGGAGATGGAAGCCCTTTGCCATGATGATCCCCATCTCCATCCAACAGCAACCGATTTGGCATCTTCAGTGTCTGGCTGAAACACATTGAAATGCACCTGCCCCAGGAAGCAAGGAGAGCACGAGCAGTTCGAAACATGATTGTTGCCAAACAAAAGACCACACACTCAAACACTGACAAAAATAGCCGCGTCCACGCATCTGCATTGGACTCCCCTTTCGCTTGAATCAACGAATAGCTGCATTTACAAAGGTACGCTGGTCAGCCAAGGTCGCAATAGGAGCTCAGAAAGGGTGTTGTTGAAGGGCTTCAATCGGTTCGGTTCGGTTCTGCCGTTGAAGTTTGAGAGGGCCATGGTTGCCCCTGCCAGCCCGTCTTGAACAGTCGGAAATATCTCGTCATAATCTGATGGATGGCTTCCACTTGGCTTGGGTTCCCCAGAAATATCTGCCACCGATCGATGAATCGCCTGGAGAGTTCTCGGTTGGGGCTGTAGGCTGCCTGCATGCCGAGGGAATCCTACAACCATCAGAATTGGACTCTGCCTCTCTGCCCTAGAAAACCTTGCCCGTGCAACGGCGACGGATTGGACATGGTGAGAGCTGTTCCAGGTGTCCCGCCTCATTCAGCGCCAAGGCAGCAACATAGCATCCAATCCATATCCTCCTCCTCTCAGCTTGACTCCCATGTTCGCTTCGGCAGTGCGGCACTGCCCTACCGTACTACCTACTCGGTCGAGTGTCTGGTGTGACATGCGATTGGTGGTTTTGTTCTGGAAAGAAGGCAAAGGATATAACTACCCCGGATGAGAAAGACCAGGGAGCAATCTATACACTACTACCCCATCATCACGACTTTCAGTACTACAGCACCTACATTACTAGATTACTCAACAAGAAATCCGATACATCCTCGCTTACCCATCCGCAACTACCATCATCGACAGAGCTACAAGTACAACACCATCATCGCCACCCCCTATCATCTCTTCTCTTCTCAGAGACTATCACCAGACCCATCACAGCCAACATGCCATCCCGGGTCTCATCCCCCTCGCTCTCCGAGCAGTTCTACTGCAATGACAGTTCCTCCGTGTCCTCCATGTCCTCCCGTCGTCACCTCTACGACCACTCCTCCATGTCCTGCCGCTCCTCCACCTCACAAGACTGCTCCCACCCCAACTTCTCCTTCCCCCTTCCCCCTTCTCAGCCCACCTCTAGCTCCCGGGGCCGCGGACTGAGGAGCAAACCCTCGAAACCGACCCTCATCAAGACCCTTTCCCCACCACAGCCCACCACCCGCTCCCGAGCCGCCAGCTTCGGCAAGCGCACAAGGCCACACGCCACCCCCGTGGTACCGAGCCACGACGAAATCGCCTTTCCTGTATCCTACGAAGACGCATGGGCCGGCTCCCGCTACGGGGAATCGGCAGTAGCCGACGGTCGCACCGACCTCGACCGGGCGCGCATCTTTATCACGCGCTTTATTTCGATGAGTTCCAACAACCCGTGGGTGAACGCGGAGCTGCGGGACATCATCACCAATCGCGAGCTGTGCCGAAGTGTGGCGCACGTGGTGTGGGCGGTGATGCACCGCGTGTTTGGGAACCGACATGCCGATTTTGGGGTGACGCCGTTGGTGCAGGCTATGCGGTTTATCCTCATCAAGGCGAATATCCCGGCCGAGGTGGACATGTGTGAGAAGGCGAGGCAGGTGGTGGATTTTTTCTTTGATCCGACGTTGCATAGGAACTTGGAACCACTGCCTTGTGAGGAGTTGGTGATATACAAATATCCTGTGGGCAGGTTGAGGGTTTGTATTGTCGGTGGAGGGCCGACGGGACTGGCCAGCGCTATCTCCCTGGCGGAGAAGGGAGGGGGAAGCATCGAGGTGCATGTGTGGGAGAGGAGGTGGGTCCGAGATGAGAGGACTGGGGAGGTTGGACATCCCCTAAATGCGAGGAGGAGAGATCAGGTCGTGACGCTGCAGGATTCGGTCACGGATCTGTTGACTCCCAAGTCTTTCCAGGCACTGTTTGCTGGACGGCCGGAGAGGGTCTGGCCGGGTTCGGCGAATATCCAGATTCGCAAGGTGGAAGACCGGTTCCTCAAGAGATGCCAGGACGACGACCTGCGTGGACTGATTCACCTCCATGCAGAGGGCGTCACAAGGGAGGAGCTCAAGAACGGCAAGTGCGGCGATTTTCACGTTCTCTTGGGCACAGACGGCGCCGCCTCCTGGGTCAGGCGCGACTACTTCCGCGGCTACGAGAAGGAGCGCGGTCGGTCTTATGCCTTGGGTCTGGCCTTTGACCGCGGTTCCGCCGGTGGACTGCCTTGGTCCCAACCGCTCAACATGTTCCTCACTCTCGGCCAGACCCGGTACCTCCTCAACGCCTCGGACCATGACGGCAAGGGGTACCTGAACATGCAGCTAACCGAAGACGAATGGCACAAGATGGTTGGCGTGGATGGTGAGCCGGTTCATTTTGGCTCTCCAGGTTGCTTCCGCCGCGAAGACGGATCCATCCCCGAGGGATTCAGCGAGAACCGCGTCTTCAAGCCTTCCGAACACCGCGACTCCTCGCTCTGGAAGTCCATCGAAGACGGGCTCAAGCTCTTTGGCTTCAAGGAATCAGAAGTCATCAACGTCGTGCGCATCCCCATCGTCGTACAAGCCGTGCGCGAAGGCGTGCAACAGCTGCCCCTCGAAGACGCTCGCTTCGTCCGGCGTCCGCACGCCCTCGTAGCCGTGGCCGGAGACGCTGCCATGACGGTGCACTTTTGGCCGGGTCGCGGTCTCAACTCGGGCATCAAAGCCGGCATCGCTTTCGGTGACGAGCTTGTGCATGCTCTCAACCGCGGAGAATTTGCCGGTCTTCCTCTCTCGTCAATGAAGCACTACAACGACTTTATCCTCAAACTGCAAGACCGCGAGCACGACAAGCGCAGCATCCCCATTCTCAACCAATCCGGCACCCCGGAGACTCTCGACTGGCTGCTCAAACAAGCCTCGTCGGTGCCGGACAACGTGGCAATCGACTGGCTCGTGGGCGCCATGACGCAAATCGCTGACCGTCTCGAACAGCGAGAAGATTGGTACTTCAAGCCGGAGATCAATGTCGAAGCGCAAATCCGCATTGTGCTCCGGCAGATGCACAGCTTGACTCTCCGAGAAATGGCCGTCTCGTTCCCCTGGCCGACGCGCGAAATGGCCGGCGCCGAAGTCTTGCCGTGCCGCTCTGCAAAGCCTGAGCCCCCCGAGACGTGCAAGAAGGCGGAGCAGAGGTGGTTGCAGCAGCTGTGGGGGATCATCAGCAAGGAGCCGAGCGCCGAACGCAGGCCCAGACTCCCTGGTTCCGCGTCGGGAGGGAGCAATGGCCGGTTTGAAGCGCCGCGGTTTACCGTGTCCACGCTGAGGAGCAAGTCGTCGTCGCCGAAGCTGAGGAATGGTGGTTTCGTGGACGACAAGCCGAGGCCGCCGATGCCGATGGGTCATCCGTTGATGGCGCAGCAGGGAATGGGGCCGGGAGTTTCTTCTGGATCGCCGCCGGGGAGTTTGAGGAGGAGCAATGCTAGCAAGAGGGGGGGAAGCATTAGCAGTTTGCCGGTGCCGTCCGAGTTTGGTGCCGCTGAAACAGGAGCAATGGGTGGACGACAGAGAAGTGTCAGTGTCAATACGGGTGCGCAGGGTCAAGAGGCGGGCAGTGATGGGGGGTTGACGAGGTTGATGAGTGTCAAGAGGCAGCCGAACCAGACGATGCTGTGTGAGGCCATGGCTTTGGCTTTGTTTGGTGTTGGCGAGTGATTGAAGGGGAGATTGGGTACGACGAGGAGAAATTGCTTTTTGGGCTGGATTTTGGGTGGGAAAGGATACCTTTACCAAGAAGATGCTTTGGTGTTTGGTGCTTTGATTCGGCGTCTGGGCTGATGTAATTTGGCGGGCGGGTTCAGGGCATATGGAGCTGGAGTCACTCCTTCTGAATAGGTCATTACAGTCGGATTGATGCCTTAGTAATACGATAAGTAATCGCTTCTTCAAGTTGAACACTTCAAGTTGTTGATCTCTTGGCAGCAGTGAAACCGGCTCGTCCTTCCTCAATGGAAAACCTCGGCCTGACACACCCGAATGCCGAATTCTCTGACCCTCTCTGAGCTCCTTCCCTTTTCAGTTCCTCTCATGCCAATGCGCACATCTTCCACTTTATTCCATTCTGTTCCAGCGATGGACGTCGAGCACATCTTCCTTCAAACTTTCCGTTTCCTCCCCCTTCCCCAATCCCCAATTCCATTTCACTGAGTCCCTAACAAGCAGCACTCCTAACCGCATAAACAGTCGTACACCCAATCTTATTACACACATCCGCCGCTCCACACGGAAAACTCACACTAGCCGTCGCCAGCGCCTGGCACCCACACGGCTTGGTGATGGTACTCGTAGTCGTGCACTGCGGGACGAAGCAACTCTTGCAAGCCGTTGCCGTGGCCGTGACGGTAGGGCATTGTGCGGCAGGCGAGGAAGAGCAAATGTCGGTCCATGTCTTGGTGGTGGTGGTGGTGGAGATGGAGGTGACGACGGCGGTTTGGGTGACGGGGACAGATACTGTAGAGGTATAAGTGGAGAGTTCTGTGGTGGTGACTTGCTGGATGTAGGACTCGGTTGTGGTGCTGATGCTTGTGCTAATTTGGGTCTCGGTCTCAGTGATGGTGTCGTATTCCGTCTTGGTCACGGTGCGGGTCACGGTCGGCGGACCTCCTGGGTTGGCGGTGTTGCGCCGGGTGGTGGTGATGGTGGACGGTTGGAGGGTAATTTGGCCGAGGACGGAGCTGGGTCAGTCAGTGTCAGTAAGAGTCTGGTTATAGAGAGGGTCAAGGACACGGGTAGACTCACCTCGCTGCCGGAAGGAATAATAGGACTGCAATCTTGTGGACCATTTTGACAACAAAGGCTGGAGCTGGACAGATTGAGATAGGAGATGGGATTTTCGGTCAATTCACCTTGAAAATGTACCAGGCTGTCATGTTTCTTCCCTGTGAAGAGGACACGAGCTTTTATCTTCATCACTGACCAATTCCTTATTCGATGCGGCCTGTCCAGCACCGTCAGCTGGAAATAGCACCTGAATAGATCCCTTCGTAAGGACCCTAAATTGTCAGTTAATTCCGGACATGGAGCCTGCCATCACGAACCGAGGATCAAGAAAGCCAAGTGATCTCGACATTCGACTTTTGTACGGATCCTGTGCTCTGGAATTGCGGTCCTTGGTGTTGTGCGGTGGTGATGGAAGCTGAGTGCAAGGCAAGCCAATCAGTCGTCGCCTCCAAATTGCCTCGTTATTGCCGAATAGATTGGTGTTGCACCCTTGACTGCATTAGCTGTCCATGTTCCGTGAGCGGGCTTCGACGCTACCACGGTTTGGTATGTCGGATCCAGGTTTCCATGGACGGGAAGTTATAAATAGCAGCTCCGGAGTCAATGAACCGATATCTGGGGCAGGTAGGACTGGTGTGGGTGGTGAGAGACCCCCGGTTCTGTACATGTGAGCAATGGGTGGTTCCCGAACCTCGGCGATGTCATGAAGACAAACGTCCATTCCTGAGCTGACCTTGACAGAGCCCGGCTCGACATTGGAATTTGTGTGGAGCTCAGCAGCGTCCAGTCCAACCGATTACAACCCAAGGTAAATCCCAAACTAAGAACAGTCTCACTGGGCAAGCACATGTAGTTGTGTGTAGAAGATTGATGGACCTTTTCTCTTTAGATGACTAAACTACCTAGGTATCTAAGACCCGATGCTGTGTCTGGCACTTCGGACCGGACATGGTCCAGCCGGAATGCCAAGTATACACCGGCGCCTTTGAACACTGGGGTCTCCCAAATGTTCGAAATACATTGATGTATCCCTTCCGCCAAGTCAAAAGCCGCAAGACTTTCACCTTCGTTGATACCTAGTGTAGTACCATCTTCTGCTTCTCTTTTATCCCCCAAAGTCATGCAAGCAAACATCTCATGGCCCTCAAGGTGACCATAAACTTTCACGAAACATAGCGCAATGTTTCGTGCATGAGGCGTCGGGGCTTTACAGCCTGTTCCAGGCATAGTGTGTCGGAGAGGCACTGGGAGACTCAGAGGCACTGGGAGTCTCAGAGGCACTGGGAGTCTCAGAGGCACTGGGAGTCTCAGAGGCACTGGGAGTCTCAGAAGCACTGGGAGTCTCACTGGGTGTCGGAGTGGCGGTCACATAGTAGTACGGGTACTTGTGATGACCTTTTCCATGCTTCTTGGTGACAGTGACCGTAACCGTAGTGGGGGAGGGTACCACTACGGTCTCGACCTTGGTGGCAGTGGTGATCGATGTCTCGACATCGGTGGCAGTGGTGATCGATGTCTCGACCTCGGTGGCAGTGGTGATCGATGTCTCGACCTCGGTGGCAGTGGTGATCGATGTCTCGACCTCGGTTACGGTGACGACCTTAGGGTAAAAGGACTTGTAGGGGACCACACCTCCAAGGACGGAGCTAGGTTGATGTCAGTGAGCACAAAGTGATGAGAGGGTGTAAAGGGTGGACTCACTTCGCCGCCGCGAGGAACAAGACTGCCGTCATTTGAACCATCTTGACAAGACTGAGTGTGGATTGAGTTGAGAAGTGAGTAGGTAGTAGTAGTTTGCTTGGTCTGTTGACTTTGGAGTGTTGGGTGCTGTGATGAAAAAATGTTTCTGTTCCGCGAAGGGGAGACGGTATTTTATAGACAATTCTTGTCAACTTCTCGCCCAACGTAGTCCTTCCAGCCAGCGTGGAACACAAGGCACATCATCTCGAGCACATGGCAAGCCAACCTACCTACCTAGTTAGGGATCTGGCAAGGCAAGTCAAGCCAACTAGGTAGAATGTAGGCACATTCAAGCAACGTCAAGCCAAGTCGAGTCAATGTAGGATGTGGGCAAATCAACCTGAGGCAATTCAGGGGGACGTTGACTTGCCTTGCTTGGTGACTCGTGGACAATTGCATGTGCCCCTTTTCGTCAGACATGCCTTACCCATCCAACACACTGAGTGCGTATTTTGTTGCGGTGACCCAAATGAGAATGTACGTGCAAAGATTGATGCAAGTCAATTCTGCCGAAGGAGGGGATCACAACTCGGCAACGAAGCTCGATCCCCTCGGCATGATCCGATGTCTGGGGTAGGGGTAAGTAGGATCAGTTGCAAGGTAAACCGAGTTTGGTTGACAATGTTGAAGACCAAGAGAGATGCAAGCTGAATCCAAATTACATCCCGATGCTCTGGTTTATCGGACCCCGACGCATCCAAACACTCAAAGACATATCGCAAAGGGACCGAAAATGACTCATGACATGGCTCATGGTGAAACAAGCAGGACCGACAGATGACATGCTTTTGGTCTTGAGGTATCATATCCAAACTGCATCATCCTCACGACTTCGTATAGGTAGGTAGGTATCTTGTTGCTCTTTCCAGTCTCCTCGGCGGCGGCATGCGAACATCGCAGATATCACCCTAGTTCTGGTCCCTGACGACAAGTTTTCCTGCTGCCTGTCAGTCACACACTTCAAAGGCTGGGGATCATCGAAGTCCCTTCTCCAACCAACACAGCCTACCACGAGAAACTTGCCGAGGCTCGCCAGTCAATCTCCTCTTTTGGCGCCAGGCCAGATAGACCAAGGGGACAGCGCAAATCTGTGCAGGATAAGCGCGAACCTGTACATTGAACCGCACCTCAGTTGGAGTGGATGGTGGATAATGTCCTCAAGTTTAGACTGACTAAGCAAACACATACCTCGTATAGGTCTGCTTGCATATGCTGGCTCAGGGAGAGCCGCGTTCTGCGCTGCCGGGCGCTTAAAGACGAGACATGCTTGACGATGCGCGCGTTTCTTCTGCGTATACGGTAATGCTCTTCCTCTCCTTGCCTTTATGCTGCTCTCATCGTTCCCGACGCCTGTCCTCCACCTATCGACCCAACCCTCGAGAAAAGGGGGGCACCACAAATCTGGGTAGCGTTGCTTCTCGCATGCTTCGCCAGGCTTTCCGTGTACCGGCTTTCCCCATATGCCTGGCTTCCTTGCTTCTCATATTCGTGTATGCCTTTCCATCAGGTAGCCTTGTGCTGTTCCTCAAAAGTGACTTGCAGGTCGTTCATGTCGGGTACCTTTCGGGTTGTCGTCGGGACCAGGTTGGCAGAGGGTTCCATGTTCTCGTAAGTAACTAAAAGGCAAAGAAGAAAAGACCTCATCTGCAGCGCTGGCTGAAACTGCTCATCGGGATCGGCAAATTGAAGTTGCGCTTGGAGAAGCTAAATTAGCAGGCAGGATGATGCGATGTGGGAGATTGCAGGTGCAGGAGTTGCGTGCTGGGGAATGCGGGTAAGTTGGAGCGTAGCAGACAAGAAAGGAAAGAAACTCCAGGGAGGACCAAGGCACGCACATGACACGAGACGTCAAGAAAGGGTTGGAATGCGGGATAGCTCCAGATCTTGATGGGAGCCTGTGGGGATTGGAAGCTTCTGGGCGAGGCGTGGAGGATACACTGGAATGTGGCAGAGGAGATTGGGAGATCTCCAGAGGGAAAGAAGCTGAACTTGGAACCCGCGCCTGGCGGTGAAGCTTTCGAAATCATTACTGATAGCTGACTGAGCAACGAGAAGAGAAATTGTACGATATGGAGTGCATACGCCCTACTCCCACCTCTTTTTTCCGACTGTGATTCCACCGTCATAGCTTGGGTAGTCAATTCCCATTACTTTGCTCGTCCAGCACGCAAAAGGCCTTGAAAGTCTCAAACTGGTCATCCTCGCTTTCGAGCACACACTCGGCCGTAGCGCCGACAAAGAAAACGTGGCCCTTCTTGATCTCCTGTACCTTGGGGCCAACTGAAATCTTGCCTTGACCCTCGGTGCAGATGATGATGCTTGGGCCGTCAATGGGCTTGAAGGTGACCTTGGATCCCTGGCTCTTGAGCAGCGAGCGGACGACACTGAACTCCTCAATTGGTGGGTTGTACTCTACAATCTCTGATTGGGAGTCGATGGCAGCCTGGTTCAGTGTCGCGCCAGCTTCGCGCTTGTTCTTGACATCCTGGGTGTAGTCGGTGGGCTCCATCTTCTGCTGTTCGATAGGCGCAAAGTCATATGTAAGCATATTGACCAAATTGTCGACGTCCTTGAACTTGGGGGTGAAGCCTGCGCGCACAACATTGTCGCTGCTGGCCATGCATTCGATGATGTCGCCGCTGATGTAGGCATGGATATCGTCTGCCCTGAGATAGATCGCCTCACCCGCCTTCATCTCGACAAAGTTGAGGAAGAAAAGGACAAAGAGGCCGTAGTCGGCACCGAACTGTCCGTGTAGACGACCGACCAGCTCAGAGAGCTTGGCACCGCCTGGCGAGGGCACAGCAGTACCGGCGAAATCCGCGCCAGCGCTCTTGGCCGACTGAACGAGCTTGTCAGCAGCAGCAGTCATGTCCGCTTCAGATGAAGCCATGAGTGCACCAAAAGCACTTTGTAGCACCTTCTTGTTCTCCGCCGTGGCCTCCTCCGATTCGTTTCCGTCATTCCTCCTGACAGTCTCGACGAATGCCTTCGCCTTGTCCTCACCCACCAGCTGTCGCAGAGCAGGCACGTTGTCGAAGAAGTGCGCAATTTCCTTCAACGGACGAAAGCCGCAGAGGCCTTCAAAGTCGCTAATGGCAATGGCCATCTCGGGCTTGTGGTTGTCATCGGGGTAGTTCTTGGGGTCGCGGGCGTGCAGCTTCTCGGCGAGCTTCTTGTTGGGGTGGGCCTGGATCGATAGGGCTTTCTGGATGGACAGGACCTTGAAGAGGAAGGGCAACTTGTTCTCGTAGCGCTCGGCGATGGCGGGGGAGAGGAGAGCTTGATTGTCTTGGATGAGCTCGAGCAAGGTGCGGCCAGTGTGTTTGTCCTTGGACGGGTTGGAGGGGTGCGTGCCCATCCATAGCTGTTGGTGGTGAAGGTTAGCGGTTGACGCATGAGGACACGAAGGAGAACAAAACGGGCGTGTTTCTACCTCGGCATATGGCTTCTCCTCATCAATCTTGAACTCGTTGTCATCAAGCGAGGCGGCAGCAAACTGGGCGGCGCGCGACGAGTTTCCCTTCTTTCCCCATTCGTACGAGTTGACCCCGCATTGGAGCTGGATGAGAGGAACTGGAAGCATGGCTGTGGATGGAAAGTTTGGACCGAGTCAGATACGGGTTGAGACGACGGCGTTGAGTGGTGGCAACTAAGTATTATTGTCCACCAAGACGACAACGACTCGGAATGCTGGTCAAGTCAGGGGAAAATAAAAGTTTGGGACGGAACCCCTCATTATGTACGTCACTCCATGAAAACGGGACGAACAGCTGAAACGACTGTGGAGGCCCAGAAAGGCTAAAGTCTAATTTTACGACGTCACTAACAAATGTTGCCGCTAGGGCTATGGGCACAGTACACTACAGTACTTGTTAGGGACCCCCCTGTTCATGGGTACGGTTAGCGTCATGCACTAACAAGAGCAATGTGCCCGTGGACAAGAGTGAACAAGACTGACCGTGACGACCATTCGGGCCTCTATCATGAAACGACCACTTGAGGTAAGAATAAAGGAGAAAGTAAAAGAGGCCACTTTGCCCAACTGACATGGAGAATTTTTGGACATGGACGAGCTCAGAGTCCACAGCCGGGGCAGGGCAGAAACCGGGAAGTCGAAACTGCCCTGGTACCACAGTATGGAGAAAAGTGCCGGTACGAGATCGTTCTCAACCCATCCACCAACGACGTCGCCTCGTGGACTTCAGTGACTGTGCCGTGTATTCCCACATGACTTCCTAGACGGCTTCACAAAAGACGACAGCCCAGACAAATGGTATCAGTCTAATCCTTTCAGCCCCCTTTTTCCCATGACCCCCTTTCCCCAACCAACATGATCAAAGATGGTGTCTATGTGCCACCATTGCAGTTGAAGGGGTTTTGCTATCAAACGTAGTATGTATCTCGTACAGAAAAAGAAAGGAAAACGCAAATGACAAAACACATACAAGCCCGTAACTCCGACCCAAGAGAGAGAAACACATGAAATTATATGCCCACATCCACATCCACTGGTTGGCATAACCTGGTCCACTTCCATAGGGCCTCGGTCTCGGCATCAACCTCAGCCTCCACGATAAAAGGTCTCAGGCACTACCGAAACCCCGGACTCCTCGGCGTCATCGGGCTACTTCTTTGACTGCTTCCCCTTGGTTGCTTAACCGGCGACGACCCCGAGCACGTAAGGCCTGACCACACCTAATCATCCGGCGTAACATCTCCCTCCTTGCCCGTCACCTTTGCAAACACGGTCCTCTGGCCCGCATCCTCTTCCTCCTCCTCCTTGCCGAACTTGGTCATGCTGAACTCGGGCACCCTCCTGCTCATTGGCCTGAGGAGACCGCCGGGGTTCTGCCTCGAGCGGCGCTTGCGCTCCAGCTCGCGCTCCTCCTTTTGCAGGGCGCGCTCGTCTTGGTCGTTGAGGAATGTGCCTTCGAGCGAGAGGTAGCCGTAATCGCCGGCGAGACCGACGTCAAAGTTCTTGATTCTGAAACGCACCTTGCCCGAGACCTTCTTGCCCGAGGCGTCGACCCAATAGCCGGTCGTGTGCACTTGTTCGACAACCTGCAGCTCTTCGCCATCCAGCTGGTCCTCTTCCTCTTGTTGTTCCTCCTCCTCCTGCTGCTCCTCCTCTTGTTGGTTGTAGGACTTGTGGTCGCCCTTGAGATCTACCCACTTCCACCCCTTCGGCAGCCTCTTGGCCTCGATACTGGCGTTGAACCTCCCCCAGCATTGCACGCCAATGTGACCTTCGGACTGCAGCTGGACAACACCCTCCATCCACTTGCCACGGGCGGGCTTGAATATGTGTGCGTCAAAGGTCAGGTAGGCGAAACCGACGGCGTATTCGTCAACCGAACGTAGGAGGGCGGGGGTCTTGTCGGTGGGCGGGTTGATGACGGAGGCTTGCACGGGGCGCTCCGAGAGGTTCAGGTTGGTATAGCGGAGGAGAACGCCGCGAAGGACAGGGGAGTAGTGGTTGAGCAGAGGTTCGAGGTGTTGGGCGGCGACGTTGGTGATGGGCTTGTCAAAGCCGCAGGGGTAGAAGGGCACATAGAGCGAGTGGACCTGGGTGTAGAAGGGAAAGTCGGCGTCGTCGTCAGTGGGGAAGGAGGTAGTGGTGTCGACGTCCATCGCATCGGTTGTGGTCTCGGGCTCGGGGGTGGCGGATGCTTGTCGCTTCTTCTTGTCCTTCTTGTCCTTCTTTTCCTTCTTCTCTTTCTTGTCCTTGCTCCTGCGCTTCTTCTTTTCCTCGGCCTCGGATTCTGATGCGACGGCCGCCTCCTCCTCAGGCTGCTCTGGCTCAGCCTCTACCTTGCTCTTCTTGGACTTTTTCGACTTCTTGGCCTTCTTGTCGGCCGTCTCGGTTTCTAGCGACTCGGACTTGGACTTCTTGTGCTTCTTGGGGGCATCTTCAACGGCGGGGACCTCTTCGGCCTCTTCTCTGGAGCGCTTCTTGTCCTTGTGCTTCTTCTCGGACTTTGTGGGTGGTGGCGAGCCGGCTACTGATTGAGACATGATGGGCGACTGGGTGGTGTTGGCGACCGCGGGGGTGACTGGCAATTGGCGGCGGCGCGTGGTGGTTGCGAACTGAATGGGCCTTTCAAGTCGACCTCGCAACTGAATTCGCGATGATCGATGCGAACAAACAAAAAAATTGTTGATTGCTTTGCCTGCCGCTGCGCTGTAGCTTTGTGAAATTGACGAATGAAATGGTTGGATCTGAAAGTAGTGGGGTCAAATTCTACATGGGAGGACCCATTTGCCTGCCTCAGCGCAAGGGTCTTGAAGTCCCCTGCCATTGAATCAGTCACCTCTGTCAGCCGTCCAGCGAAAGCAAGAATGACGGATGTACATAGGGTCCGTCCTTTACTGATGGGAAGTCGGGGCAGATACACTAACCAGCGGCCGTCGGCCATCATCAACTCAGAGCCAAGTCTTCCGGCATTGACATAGGAAGACGCCGTTTAACAGACATCAAGCACATTGCCTCCGGTTGCGATGCCGTGTCCATGTCCCGGGGCGGACTCGAGAGTCGGGAGATCTTGGCCGGTGTCACCCGGACTGCTCCCGGTGCGGGGCAAATGTGGGACACTCACTCACAGCGTCACCCAATTTCACTTCTTTTACGTGCTTGGACAACTTGTGCTTAGAAATACATATATAGGTTGATAGAAGAACGAATTGGAATTAGTACAATAAACAGTTTATATCCTTCGTTCGCGACGTGTAGAGCTCCGACTGATACATCCACAGAATCGCCCACCACCACACCCAACCTCACACCTCACCACTCAGACCCCAACCCAACATGTCCAACGACTTCAAACCTACCAACGTCCTCATAATAGGCGGTACCGGCACCATCGGCGCCTACATCACCTCTTCCCTCCTCTCCGCCGCCACTCCCAAACCCTACACCACTCTCTCCCTCTTCACCCGTCCCGGCTGGGACTCCGACCCCTCCTCCCAAAAGACCCAACTCATCAAGCACTGGCAATCCCAAGGCCTCAATATCGTAACCGGCGACGTCGAATCCCTCGACCAAGCGGGTTTCACCAAGGTTTTCGAAGACGGCAAATTTGACACCGTCATCTCCTGCCTAGGCCGCGCCACGCTCAAATACCAACCCAAAATCATCGACGCGGCTGAGCACTCACAAAGCGTGCAGTGGTTCTTGCCGTCCGAGTTTGGCACGGATGTGGCGCATAATGAGAAGAGTGCCCAGGAGCCGACGCACGTGGGCAAGTTGGCGCTGAGGAAACACATCAGGGAGAAGATTCAGCGGTTGAAGGTCACGTATGTGGTTACTGGGCCGTACTTTGACATGTGGCTTTATCCCACGCCTGGCTATGAGCAGGCTGGCGGGTTTGTGCCGGCGGAGAAGAAGGCGTACATCATTGGTGATGGTGAGGGCAAGGTTGGGTTTTGTACCATGTGGGAGTAAGTGTGATTTTCCTGTTTATTCCTCATATCAAACCCATACACTAACACCCACCCAGCGTCGGCAAATTCGTCACCGCCACCCTCCGCCACCCCGCCCAATCCTTCGGCAAAGCCCTCAAAGTCCAGTCCTTCATTGTAACCCCCAATGAAGTCCTCTCGGAATTCCAGAAGCAGACCGGCTCCGATTTCGAGGTCAGCAAGACCCCGCTCCCTGAGATTGAATCGCTCGAGGACGTCCTCTGGGACAAGAAGAGCGCCAACCCGCAGCCCAATCCCTTGGCTACTCTCGTCACGCTGCGTAGGATCTGGGCTCGGGGCGGCACGCTGTACGAGAAGAATGATAATGAGGTATTGGAAGTCAGCCAGGAGGATTTGGATACGTTGGAGGAAGGGGTGAGGAGGTATTTGGCTGGTGGATATAGGGGGGAGACGTTTGGAGTAAAGGCGTGAGGCGTGTGATGGCATGCGGGGCGTGATTCGAGACGGGATGCATGGGGAAAGGGGAAAAAGTGCTAGAGGTGAACATTGACTTGTGCTTCTCGACGGTGGTGACTGCCCTTCTTTCAACACCTTACTTCCATGTCCACTCTCGCTCTATCCGCTCGCCCTCTTGGAAATCCAGCCAGGCATGCCTGTAATCTTCGTTAGAGGGAGTTGTCGTCTTACAAATAAAACCCCCACGATTGATGGATGTAATGACTTTCTACCGGCGTGCCTGAAGGCCGCATCAGCTCCTCTTTCTTCTTCCGATACTCTGCCAACCAAGGCAAGTGATTTTCCGAGCAGGTCAACTTCTTGAAGCTCTTCATAAACTCCAGCGCAAAATTGTTGAAAGAATTGGCGTCAGCCAGCTTCTGATATTCCTCTTCTGTGAGAGGGTTTCCGCTCTCCCTTATTTCATTCAGGCTGTCTTGTAACCCTGGTATCAAAAAGGAACTCTCGTTCTGCGCCAAGCGAATATTCTCAAGCTTGGAGAGGACGCTGTTTGCATCATCATAAGTGGCTGGCTCCCAAAACCACGGCTCATGCTCATCGTTCCTCTTCTGCCGGGCTACCAGGACCCTTGGATTGGTCTTCTTCAGTCCCGCTGCCCGTCTCCATATTGTATCCTTGTCCGTCACCGTGGCCGCCTTGTTCTCGCTAGTACCTGCTTCTCTTCGACGAGCCCGTCCAAGTGTCAAGAGGTCTGCGGCATATGCTGTATCGCATTCGATGACCACCACCTCGTCCATGTGCCTTAACTCATGCCCCATAAATTCAATGTCGATGTGCCAGTTGTCACCCCCCGGCGGATTCTTCCATATATTCAGAAGCACTTTCTCTTCGTTTTGTGGATAACGCTGGAAGAAATTTTCTACATATTTCCGTGGCTTAGACAAAATTTCGAGGTCCTTCGAAAGCTTTGTCAGTTTGATTCCAAAGTAGGATGGACATGTCAAGGCAGCAAGTAGAAGTAGCACTGCAGTTCTTTCGTTTGCCTCTAAGGTTTGCCGACTACTACCATTGGAGAAGCAGCCTTCCACGGTAGCGGAAAAGACATGTTCTGAAAACTCAAGAAAAGGATGTTCAGCCAAAATAGCTTCACCCACTTTGGCTTTGCCTAGTACCATTCCATCGTAGGTGAATGCTGGGTGGGTGTTGGGCCCTACAGTAGATGTAATGAAGAGGTAGATGAGGTAAGGTCGTGACCGGATAACGTCCATGTGGGGACTAAATTGAGGATATCGGACAAAAGGGATAACAATATTGTGGTACCCATGTACGGCGTGGGAACCTGCAAAATCGAACGGACGCGTCCTTGTGTACATGATGTCGTCCACTTCGAGTATACGCCTACATGCTTCGAGCAGCATGATCTGAACGTCGCCTGGTAATGCGCTGTCGTCCCAATTGAGATGAACATCTTCCATGAGCTCAGTTGAATCAAATGCACTGTCATCTGGACAGCGAGAATGCCAGTGCCTGAATATATGAGGATTAACCGGCTTCATAAACATGAGGTACGCTCTGGCGACATCAGCCTGTAATAGCCATGACCGGAGCTCGCTGAAGGTAGACGTGTCATGTGCCATGATTCGCTGGCCCTCCGGACTATCTGTAAGAAACTCGAGTGCGGATCGATGAATGAAGTCAATGCTGCCATAATCGCCATGTTCAAGAAGCCCGGCACTACGTGTCTCTACGCGCTTCCCAAGTTTTTCACACAATGCCTCTAGATTCGCGGGAAGGGACGCCGTGTCGTGATTCAGGTATGCCCGGGAAATGGATGGGTCGCGGGCGGCAAGGAGATGGAACGTGGTGCAGCGTTTCTCAAATGCGTGGGAAGGCATGCGCCCCCAATGTATGACCAGTTGGAAATACAGAGCCGCCTCTTTCCTGTAGAGATGTTGATCCTCGTTCAGGCGCTCCCACATGTCTTTGTAGAGTGGGTACAGGCCCGTTGGCATCTTCTCCAGCCGAGCGTACAGTTCGGATATATCATCTTCGTTGGTGAGACCCCGGGAGAGACTTCGGACCGCAAGGGCAGTCCACAGAAAGACACCATCAGCCATGTTGCAGAGCTTGTTGACAAGTTTCTGATATTCCTTTTGGTTCTCAAGACCCACGACCTCATTTGAGAGTAGCTCAGCCTTGGCGTATTTCGCCATGTCGGAGCGGGTAAGGTCCTGTAGCCGCAGACTGCATAGGCCGCCCAATTTATTCTTGAACACAGCCTCCGGTCGACTGGAAACACAAATTTTGATATTATCAAACGTTGACAGCCTCGCCACTAGGTCAAGCAGATCGCGCGGGTCATCAGCAACGCTTGTGTTGGATGATCCGAACTCGTCAAGGCCATCCAAGAAGATGAACACAGGTCTGGTTGCGATGGTGTGGAGGGAGTCCATCATGGTTCTGTCTAAGTCCTCAAGTGTCCAATCTCCCCAGAAGTCTTTGAGCTTGAGGTCGGGGAAAGTGTCGATAACATGATCAAGGGCGTGCTCATCATTGGATAGCAATTGGTAAAGTAGGTTGAGGAGGATCCCACGCAAACTTTTTTGAAGCGGCGAACCGGCGGCCCAGAGGAAATGTGAAAGAATGAGATCTTGGCCGTCAGCTTGCCTTTGGGGATGCCAGAGAGCGGGATTGGTGACGAGAAATTTCATGAGTGTGCTTTTTCCAGATCCAGCCTTGCCTTGGATCCAGTAGATTTTGTCCTTTGGGGATTCCAGCCAGCAAGGAAAACAACTCCACGAGAGGTTGTTCTCGTGGGTTGTGCGATGTGGACAGACAGGTGTCAAGTTCTCTCCATCGGGTACACTCTGGATACTGTTCGGTGCTGACTGTATCATCCATCTACACGTCCCTGCAAAAGCCGCTTTGACCTGGCCAAGACGTTCACTCATAGTGTCGTATTTGAGGCTCTTGAGAAGTCGTTGTCGCTTTTCCTCCGCGGAAGCTTCCAGGGACGTTTCCTTGATCATTGCCTGCGTCTTTTTGACTTCAGAAGCAATGACTGTGGTTGCGGCATTTTGAACCGTGGATTCGGCCTTGACTACTTCCACAATAGAATCATGGGTCGATTTCATGAGGTCTTGGAGATTATCCTGTCCTCGAGAGACAGCCTCTACGAAGCACTGGAGGGTACTGTCGAGTTGTTGAAAACCGGTTTCCATTTTCAGTTGAAGCGCGTCATTTTGGTTGCTTGTACATCATGATGATTTGGACAGTCAGCCGGCGCGAACAAACAATTGAATTTGTTGTAAGATTTATCACGGCCTTACCAGATACGCAGAAGAAGGCCGGACTCGAGGACCTTTTGGTAATCACGCATTTTCTTCTCCAGCTTGTCGATATTCCCTTGTTTGAACTTTGCCCGTAAACCCAATCGCAATGAGGGCAGGACTTTGCCTTTGGCAGAGGGACGGGTGAGCTTGTCGACCTGAACCTTGAGAGCAGACATGGCGTCGAGGCATTTGTTTGCGATATCAAGCAGCTCCTTGTCATCCCGTGTAACTGGCCTCGCGGATGATATCGAACTTTTGAGACTCGTGGTGATTTGGGTGGAATGGGCCAGCAGTGTTGCCATGCTGGGATCTGGGGAGCCGGTACGGAAGATAGAATGGCACACGGATGCCATTTCTATAGCAAAGCCGATAGTTTGCATGACATTGCACGCGAGCCCGAAGGCCTCGAGGCCGGACATTTTTTCGATGGCGGCGTGTTCTCAGAGACGAGATGCTAGACACCTGAACTTGAACTTGTGAGTAAGTGTTCCACCGTGGGAGGACATGGCGACGGGGCGCTCCATCTACCTGTATACATATGATAAACCCCGGCTGGCTGTATAGTAGGTGGATGTTGGCCAAGCAGGCTCCAGGCAGGCCTCCTGGTCGACCACCATGTTGGGCTGCAGCAGACTGGGCTGCAGTGTGGGAAGATATGCCGGGCACTTGCGCGCGCCGCTACCCAATGGCCTTGCATCTCGGGTGAAAGCATGTCCTCAGTGGCTCGGGGTTTCCAGGACTGAGCGCGCATGCGCTGTCACGATGGCGGTCATGGTGTGAGGCTTGAGGTGGAAAATGAAGCATCAATAATGACGGATGTTGATTGATTTGGGGAAGCAAACCGAATGGAGACGGCACAATGGTCGACTTCAGTTTGGGGAAGAAGAGAAACCTGAGCATATCGAAGTGGAAGGTACAACTGAAGTCTGCCGCGATATACCGTCCGTCCCTACTCTCGCCTTCCGCTCACCAAGTTCCCATACCAAGCGGAAGGTCCATAGTACCTACCGTAGAAGTGGTCGGGAAAACAACTGAAAACGGACATGGACAGTCTAATTGGAAGGTACCTCTACTTATCTGGCCCGAATTAGCCAAGAAACTGGAAGAAGGCTGTTGCTTGTATATTCCTGTGATATGTAGAGAGGTCACAATAATCCGACAGCAGATGCTTGGATGTACATATATCGACTGCATCCGCCCGCGTGGTCACTGCTTTGGAATATAACGTGCGTCGAGCTACTAAACACATAGTGTTGGCTGTCTCTCTCCGTCGCATGTTAGGGAGTGCAGCGGTTTTGTACACATTCCCTAACAGGTACTTCCAAAAATAGCACAATAACCAATGCTCCTTTCAAAGACCAGCGCTGACGACACAGCTGCGTAGGGGAGTGTGTAGGTGCCGACGGAGGTAAGTAGATATCTCTACCATCAGTTTCGTATGAATTATCCTACTGTTCCGAAAGATAAATTTCCTCTTTTCCGTCATGTTGCAAAGTGTTCAGCATTGGGACATGTCTATCTATGCGATTAGGAAAATTACCTCTACCGAGAACAGTTCCTGATTCCTGTTTGTATGTACAAGTAAGCGCCAGGATCCCCAGCCCATTCCCCGCTGACTTGGCAGGCCCAACCCACAGCGGCGCGGGGACAGCAAGTCCCCTGTCATTTCCCATTCCAGCGACCTTCCGTTATTGTCAACTTCCATCGTGAGACAAGACGGAATCTCCAACATGACGGCAACACCATCATTCCACCATCTCCTCCATTGCACCAACCTACTAGACCTATCATCGCTTGAGCTACCATGACCCTTCTCTAGTTGAGATTCCTACTCAAATTTGGAGTACTTCCGTTCAAGATTGGCCTCAAAGTCTTTACCGCGTTCCTCGTCGTGCGGGCCATCTTCAGAAACATGGCCGCCAACCTCCGCGACCTAACGATGTACCTGGTGGTGCTGATAATCGTCAGCACCCTCGGTCCTCTTCAGTTTGGTTTCCATCTGGTATGCGTTCTCCCTCTTTCTATGCCCGAGATATCTCTACTAACAATCTTTCCAGGCAGAATTGAACGCCCCCGAAGATGTCATCACCTGCCGCAAAACCTCCATCTCCTCGGCCATCTCCAGCCTGCTGTCCTACGTCAAGAACTCCTCGAGCGATGTCGACTGCATTCCCATGACCCGACCCCAGTTTGCTACCGTCTCCGCCATCTTCACCATCGGCGGTCTCTTCGGCGCCCTGATGGCCGGGCCCTTCACCTCCTCTCGAGGCCGTTGGCTCTCCATGCAGTTGACAGCCGCTTTCTATATCGTCGGCTCCCTCATTGAGACCCTCTCCCACTCCGTCCCCGTGCTTTCGACAGGCCGTTTTCTGACCGGTGTCGGTGCCGGAGCCAGCACGGTCATTGTCCCCCTCTACATCAGCGAGATCGCGCCTCCTGAGCAGAGAGGATTATTTGGTGCTTTTACCCAAATCAGCATCAACCTCGGCATCTTGATCTCGCAAACCATGGGATACTTCTTGAGTCACGATTCGGCCTGGAGGTGGATCCTAGGATCTGGAGTGGTGGTGGCGGCTGCTCAGGGATTCGGACTGCTGTTGGCGCCAGAGAGCCCAAAGTGGACAGCGAGCGCCAAGGGCGATGTCGCGCAGGCGAGGCGGACACTTCAGCGCATCCGTGGCAAGAACGCTAATATCGACGAGGAAGTCGACTCATGGGGCCAGGGAAGTGGGAGACCTACTAGCGAGGAGGAATCCCTCCTTCACAGTGTCGAGGACCGCATGGAGGGCCTGTTGCGCAGAGACACCTCCTCTCGCTCCAACTCCCCATCCCCTTCCACATCTTCGCGTCCTCATCCCCACAAGGCCAGCAAACCCCATCTCGGTTTCGTGCAGGTCCTCAAAGATGCCAACACCCGTCCCGCCATTATCGCCGTGGTAGGCATCATGTTCGCCCAACAACTCTGCGGCATTAACTCCATCATCATGTACTCGGTCTCCCTTTTCCGCGACCTGCTCCCGCCTTCTTTTTCTTCGGGCCTCCTCACCATTTGCATCTCCATCATCAACCTAGGCACTACTACTGCCTGCTCGCCTCTGCCCGACAAGTTTGGCCGTAAGGCTTGTCTCTTGGCTTCTACCATTGGCCAGGGCGTGTCGTCTCTTGTCCTTGCTCTCTCCATCATGTTCGGCGTCAAGATCTTGTCCGCCATAGCGGCCCTGTTCTTTGTGGCTTTCTTTGCGGTCGGGTTGGGTCCAGTGCCCTTTATCCTGGCGAGTGAGCTGGTGGGTGAGGAGGCGGTGGGTGCTACGCAGTCTTGGGCGTTGGGTGCGAGTTATATTGCTACTTTCCTGGTGGCCTTTGGGTTCCCGGTGGTCAATGAGGCGCTGAACAGGGTTTTGGGAGGTGCTGGATGGGTCTACTTTATCTTTGCAGGGCTGGCGGCGTTTTGGGCTTTGTTTATCGTGAGGATCGTGCCCGAGACAAAAGGGAAGGCGAACGCGGACGAGGTTTGGGGACGTACTAGGCGTGTGGACTGAGTGGTGAGTTGATAAGCTGGGCGTTTTGTACTGTGCTTTTGCGTGTTGTTTTGGAGGGCAGAGTTTGGTGCATTGCTGAGAGTATACCTAGGCATTCCTATAATACAACGGAAGTGAACTTCCCACTTGTACAAGCAGGACAATATTACCACCTTCTATCTCAAATTACTACCAAGGCACCAACCGCCAATCTGGCAATCGGTAGGCATTAAACTCGGCAACCGTAACCTCGGACCTCCGAACCTGCTTATGCAACTGCAGAAGTGAGCTTCGCTCGTGCGGAAAGGATGACTTGTCACAAGGATGAAAGCATGGAAACAGGAAACCTGATCCGGACCCTCCAAACAGGTACTTAAACCATCGTATCCCCCTCTCAAATTCTTCTCTCGGGAACCAAACTCTTTCTAGTACAACATTTCACTACTCAACACATTTATTCAAACCAAACTAAGCCGCCGCTCCAATCGTTGTCGTTCTCAAACCAAACGGTCGTCCTTTGTCGTTAAATCAAGAGGTATGTTTCTCGCTTGCTATTCTGCTCTCTACTTCCCCGTCTCCCCAACTCCTTTCTAATATAATGGTAATAGGTTCCAAAATGACTACCCCGACAAACTGCATATGTGCGCTGGCAAACGAGTGTCCACTCGCCAGCGAATGTTCAATCTCGGCAACGACAGGATTTGATCTTAAACTTCTCATCATCATTCCAGGCATCATTGTCTGGTTGGCCCTGAGTATCCTGAGATTTTGGGTTCGATCCGAAACGATATGGACAACCATGCACGGAGAACAATCAATCACAGCATTCCCGAACGTCAACGGCAAAAGTCGGCGATATCAGCTCACAACATTCTGCTTGGTATTCTTGACATTCCTGTTTGTTTGGCCGCTTGACATGGGATACTACATCATCACTTGGAAACCCGTTTCTGCATCACCCGACAAACCACTGCTGCTATCGAACACCCTCCCAGCACCGGCAGAACAAGAACCACCACCACCCTACCATGGTGCTATTAGTGTTGCATAAGGGGAGATTTGGAGGGTGGTGATTGTGTCTTATGTCAGGTTGACTTCTAGCGTTGCTTATTACAACTTTGGGCGTAATTTGGTACACCAGGCACTCCTGCTGTACAATAAACATAGTGCACTAGACAAAATGTATTTCGAATAGTCCTAAAGGTTACTTGGACAAATTAAAAGGTATTAGTTGGATTTAATTTGGTATTTTGAATATTAGAGATGGCGTGGCGTGCCCGAGGTAAGATTACACATTAGTTAGCCATGAAAACGCATAGGAAAGTTGACACGAGGTCTCGAACTAACAAACAAACCAGTACTGGACTGTACGATGTGACTTCTGCCCCGAGAGCTTGGAAAAAGGTAGGGAGCACTGCGACAAACTTGCGTACAAATCACTCGAAAAGAAATTTCCAGTTTCAAAGTTTATTCCACTCCCTTTCCGTCCCTACCTACTGGGTAAACATTCTCCTATTTTTCACCATCTCAGCCACCAGCCCAACTCCCGCTCTGACTCCATCAACAACCATGACCTTCTTCCCCCTTTCCTCGCCGTACTGCTCAATCGCAGTCCGTCGAATGATTTGCTCCAGTCCAGCCATGCCCGCACACCCCATCACCACACACTCCACATCCCCAGCCTGCAGCAACTTCCTGGTCGCCTCCGCCAGTTTCGCATCAATTACCTCCTTGGGAATATCCCCATGGAAATCTCCCGCATCCAACCCCGTCGTCTGCACCCCAGCAAACTTTGTATTGTTTCCCCCTTCCTCCTCTTGACCCAGGAATTTCTTGATACCTACCGTCAGGTGCTCCTCCCAGTACTTTCCCGTCGTGACAATGCCCCATTTCTTCGTCGGGCCCGTGAGCAGCGACAGAGAAGTGAGGACGGAGGCTTCAAAGATGCCCGTGACGGAGAGGGAGAAGCCGTTGGATGCAGCGAGTTCCGAGAGGCCGGGGACGAGACGGTGTACGGAGTAGCAGCATACTAGGACGGCGTCGTGGTCTTTGAGGAGTTGGAGGTTGCTGCTGAGGTCTTGGAGGACGACGGAGGCGGAGGTATCCAGGTCGGTGCCGTTGTTGATGCTGGCTGGACAAGAGGTGGAGGCTGTGTAGTAGGTGATTTCGATGTTCTGGAGGGGGGGTGTTAGTCCACGTTTTTGGTTACTAAAGGTGGAGGGGGAAGGGAACACAGACGTCGGGGAGGTGTAAGCTGGAAATAGACTTTGCCATGCCATCGGTCATGGACTTGGACGAGTTGGGGTTGAGGATCAGGATCCTGATTGGTTCTTGGTGGGCGGTAGTCATGTTGGCGAGGGGGGTGAGTAAGTGAGGTGAATTGATAAGTGGTCTGAGGTGGAAATGGTCAGATCTGAGTCCATGGCAGGCCTGGTAGCACGGAGATCAAATATTTGGATGAAAGTTTCAAGACGGAACAACCTGAATGGCAACAACCTACTAGTATTGTATTGAGTTGGTAAAATACCGATTTTATGGACGGCCTGAGTGAGCAAAAATACCTAAGAAAAGGCGCCGCCAAATAAATGGGACACACCTTCCAAACGCGACTAATGTTTTGATGACAACGAATGAAGAAGAAAACGAAGGCAAAAACCAATATCAAACCCCACTCTCGAATGAATGATCCATTCCGTCTGATCTCTCACGATGTCCAACAAGGTGCATGTACAAGTACAAGTGCGAGTCCCATGCGGGGTATCACGTGGGTACCCTAATGCCTGCCACTTCCTTGGGGTCCAGAATCCTGCCAAGACCCGCCTGTCATCGGCGCTCGTCCTGGACAAAATAGTTGAGACCTTTGACGTTATACCTTGGTTGGGTACTTGGGTATACTGCTAACTAAGTGCGCATCCAAGCGTCTTGGTAGCACCTCTGATCTCAAGTTCTAGGCAATTCCGGAATGAAAATGTGTAAATGGGACTCTAGTTGAGGTCTTTTCGAATTGTGATAATCCCTATCACAGTCTTGCAACGGCCTTTTCTATGATCTTGACGAGCGGTAGTGGACTGGTTTACCTAGGTAGGTACCTAGCCTGTTGGTTCGTCTCATTTATTTTGGCTCAGACGAGCGGCGCCCTGTTTGAAGGAAAGCTTGGCAGTTAGCGAATGACCCCACACATCGGTACTACCCCCCAGCTAGGCTACCGCGCTGGACTCCAGCTAATTACGGTGCCGTAGTCCACTCCGCTACCGTAACCCGGACAGGGCACCGACACCACTGCACCGACCGACCGACGGGACCACCGACACTTGGTTGTTGATTCACCCGCGGGAGCTTTCCACCTATTCTAGCTCCGATATACACTCGATATTCGAAACCCCGACGAAGCTATTCGCAACTCCATTGAAAATTACCCAAACAAACAGCTGCCCAGCATGGCCAACACCGACGCTCCCATTGGTACGTCAGCTCTTCTCCGCCAACAACCCCTTATCCGTCTGTTGTCTCGAGCTCAAGCTACCTTGACGACCACCAACACCACCATCCACCCACCCATCTGCCTGACCGCGTCATCACCGTCGCCATGGTAGCTGTCGCCGTCGGGCTCCGTCCTCAATCACTTCCCATTCACAGCAACACATTAAACACAGCGCCCAGCTAACACCTCTCTCCCACGTCCACAGTCCTCGATGGCGGTACCGGCTTCCTCAAAGTCGGTTACGCCGCCCAGAACTTCCCCGAATTCCAATACCCCTCGATAGTCGGCCGCCCCATTCTCCGCGCCGAAGAAGCCAAATCGCTTTCCGACTCGTCCGACATTGTGATCAAAGACATCATGTGCGGTGACGAGGCCGCGGCCGCCCGCACCATGCTCCAAATCAGCTACCCGATGGAGAACGGCATCGTCAAGAAGTGGGACGACATGCAGCACCTATGGGACTACACTTTTCACGAAAAGATGAAGGTCGATACGCGGGGAAGAAAGATCTTGTTGACGGAGCCGCCTTTGAACCCGCTGAAGAACAGGGAGCAGATGACCGAAGTCATGTTTGAGCGCTACGACTTTGGAGGTGTCTATGTCGCTATTCAGGCGGTGCTGGCATTGTATGCTCAGGGTATGTCACCGCTCCTTTACACGGCGACTTGAGGAAACAAGTAGCTGACAGACAACGCGCAGGTCTCTCCTCTGGTGTCGTAGTCGACTCTGGCGACGGTGTCACGCATATCGTTCCCGTCTACGAATCCGTGGTTCTCAACCACCTTACCCGCCGCCTCGATGTGGCCGGCCGCGACGTCACCCGCAACCTGATCGCCCTCCTTCTCCGCCGCGGTTACGCCCTGAACCGTACTGCCGACTTTGAGACCGTCCGCCAGATCAAGGAAAAGCTCTGCTACGTCTCGTACGACCTCGAGCTCGACAAGCGCCTGTCCGAAGATACCACCGTCCTCGTCGAGAGCTACACCCTTCCCGACGGCCGCGTCATCCGCGTCGGCTCCGAGCGTTTCGAGGCCCCCGAGTGCTTGTTCCAGCCGCACTTGGTGGATTGCGACCAGCCGGGTATCGCCGAATTCCTCTTCAACACTATCCAGGCCGCCGATGTCGACGTGCGCTCCTCGCTATTCAAGGCGATCGTCCTGTCGGGTGGTTCCAGCATGTACCCCGGCCTCCCAAGCAGACTGGAGAAGGAGCTCAAGCAGCTGTGGTTGACGCGCGTGCTGGGAGGCAACCCGGAGAGGCTGAGCAAGTTCAAGGTCAGGATCGAGGACCCGCCGAGAAGAAGGCATATGGTCTTCTTGGGTGGTGCGGTGCTGGCGAATATCATGGCGGATAAGGAGAGCATGTGGATCACGAAGCAGGAGTGGGAAGAGCAGGGCGCGAGGGTGCTGGAGAAGTTGGGTCCTAGGTAAGGGACAACTGAGGGTGAAAGCTGTTTAGACTACAATAGCAGGCGATATAATGTTTTCCGTTGGTAGGTAAATAAAGGATAATGCGAGAGTTTGTTAGAGTTTGGTGTGAGTCTGTTGGTTCCGACAGGGGAAATCGAACAATGGCCTTGTGCCAAGAGTCATGGTCTTTTGGGATGCCATGAAAGAAGTCCCCAATACCACCACAACGGCGCCAACATCAAGCAAGATGCGGACAGCGGAACGGGACGGTCCCGGACAAACATCGGGAAGACGGAAAGGTGAAGTGGCCCACCCCACCTTCTGGACATCGATACGGTACGCTAAGGCCGGCAGCGATACAGTGGCTTATCAGAGCTGACACACTAACAGAAGCAAACATCATCAGATCTCTGCTAGCCTGACATGTCGCTCGTGACGAAAAGGGCAACTGATGTTATTGTTTTCCTTCGTGTGTCACTTTGATGTTGCCTTTGCAACAACAATATCATTCCAGCTTGTCGTCAAAATCCCCAGACTTGTCGTGTTTCCAGACCCTCACCGGCCATCTTTACTCGATTTCTCCAAACTCTCAGGCCCGGCTCCCATCGTCCAGCTACCGGCCACGCTAACACACCGTCTCCGCTCATCCATTCCCGAGTCTCACAGTGGTTTCCCCCCCGGGCCCGTGCAGATCGGGTACGGCTCAGATGACATGCCTCCGAAACCGAAATGTGAGTCGATGAACTTGATCCAATTCCTTCATTCAAAACATCATCCAGCCCTCCCAGCATGATCCCTTTAGTGTGTATTCTGTGCCCGGATATATAGTTCTTTTCCATAAACATCCCGCGAGCATCTTCAAACACAAAACAGACGGGCGGTGACTGCCCAGCCTCTCACTACCAACTCACTACCTTACATGCACCAACCTCACTCTTATAAACATACAATCACCCCCCATGATGTACGGCACAAATAGAGCAAGGAACCAAAAAGCCGAAACCAGCTACCGCGGGTGTCAGTATCACCTTTCCCCCCATTCATCTCTCATATCCTAGTTCAGTCCGACACTAACCGCCCTCAGACTCAGACCAGCGTAGCAATGCCGGCCCCCTAAACTACCAAACCAAAGTCCGCATTACGGACCGCTACAAAGTCATCGGCTTCATCTCCTCCGGCACCTATGGTCGAGTCTACAAAGCCACCGGCCGACAAGGCCAAACTGGGGAATTCGCCATCAAAAAGTTCAAGCCCGATAAAGAAGGCGAAGCAGTGGTGAACTACACGGGCATCTCGCAGTCGGCGGTGCGTGAGATGGCGTTATGCTCCGAGCTGCGAAACCACGCCAACGTTATCCGGCTTATCGAGATCATCCTCGAGGACAAGTGCATCTTCATGGTCTTCGAGTACGCAGAGCACGATTTGTTGCAGATCATCCACCATCACACGCAAACACCACGACACCCGATCGCGCCGGGGACGATCAAGTCGATAATGTACCAGCTGTTGCAAGGGGTGCAATACTTACATACCAACTGGGTATTACATCGAGATTTGAAGCCGGCCAACATCATGGTTACTTCATCCGGAGAAGTGAAGATTGGCGATCTGGGACTGGCCAGGGTGTTCAAGCAGCCGATCCACAACCTCTACATGGGCGATAAAGTGGTCGTGACTATATGGTACCGCGCGCCCGAGCTGCTGTTGGGGAGTAAGCATTACACGACGGCTATTGACCTGTGGGCGGTGGGATGCATCTTTGCGGAGCTGCTGAGTCTTCGGCCGATCTTTAAGGGGGAGGAGGCCAAGATGGACAGCAAGAAGACGGTGCCGTTCCAGAAGCATCAGATGCAGAAGATTGTGGATGTCATGGGCTTACCAACGAGAGAGCGATGGCCCTTGTTGGCCAGCATGCCCGAGTATAGCCAGTTGTCCACTTTACAGCCGCCCTTGCTGTCGACCAACACCTCCCACTCCCACGGCGGCCACCACCCCTACGGCCATCGCTCCCAGCAACAACCGCCCGCGTCGCAAAACACGCACGGAAACCTTCAGAAATGGTACCACCAAACCACCGTCTCCACCCCTCTGACCTCGCTAGGAGCAGAAGGCTACAAACTCCTCGCCTCCCTCCTCGAATACGACCCCGAGAAACGCTTGACGGCCGCCGACGCCCTCGTCCACCCCTTTTTCACCTCGCCCACCTCGACCCCGCTGGCTTCTCTCAATAGCAACACGGCCAATAGCACCTCCCAAGGAACAGGAGCAGCAGCAGTCAACTGGTCACCGACCAACTGCTTTGAAGGACTCAAAAACGAGACGTACCCTTGTAGACGCGTGTCGCAGGACGACAACGATATCGGCTTCGGCACCGGGACGGGGAATCAGAGTGGATCGCGGGTGAATACCGCTGCGGCCGGGACTGGGACGGGGCTGGTGATGGGACAAGCGCAGTCGCAGGTTCAGGCTATGGGAGGTTCGTTGGGGAATATCGGCGGACACGGGCACGGACACGGACATATGGGCGGCGGCGGAATGGGCCAAGGGATGGGAGGACTGGGTCAAGGACATGGTGGGATGGCGCAAATGGCGGGGATAAAAAGAATGCATGATGCTGCTGCTGCTGCTGCTGCGGCGGCGGCGGCGCAACAGAGTCATCCGAATAAGAGGATGAAAGGGTCGCAGGGATAGGGATAGGGTCTTGGTGTTGGAAGACGCGGACGAACTCCCACGCAACGCCTTGGGGGACAGTACCTCTAGGTAGAGGTAGGACAGCAGCATCACAAGGGACAGCGGAAGCCGAACAAGCCGGAAATGAACGCATGGCTGTCAGGAGAGCTGAACGATATCATGAATGGCAAGTCGAATGGTCAGTAGCCATTTGGACTGCTTGGCCGTGAGCTTGAGAACGTTTGCTCAAGCTCACGTTTGGCGGAGAGAGGCTGGGACAGGACCAGGCTCAGCACCGAAGGAACTGAGTTATAAGTGGAAATACCTGTCCAACTCACCTTCCTCATCGCATGGCTTGATTCCTGGGCACTTAGCACCATCTCACCGCCCAGGAAACAGGACAGACCTTGCATCAACAACAGCGCCAACAAACAGTACAACTGCAGCGGCTTCACCATGGATTCACAAGCTCGAGATTGCGCCGCAAATGGTGCTACGACAGAACAAGTTCAGCAACCACGACAAATTACACAGGTAGGAAGCACTGCGAATTCACAACGAGCGACGCAAAATCGCTCTTAGTCCAGGTGCAGCATCTCCAAAACCTACAGCGTCTTGGATGGGAGATACCTACACAAGCTAGCGGTGTTTTGATCTCGCGCACAAGCTGCTGCAAGCACAAGGACAACGGCATCCATTGGAACCACTGGATGATATTGGGTGGCATGCCTTGGAGGGTGTAAATTCGCCGCCGGCACTAGTCCGGGTTTGTTTGGGTTGTTGGGATCACTGAGGAGAAGATCCTGAAGAGATGGGACATGGACTAGTGAGATGGGTATGCTCGGGGGTTCAAAGATGGAAGTTGATTGTGTTGAAGGGGCGGGAGAGACTGAATTGTTAGTACCTGACATCGAAGCGATCAGGACTTGATGGACAAAGCGTGGACTAGAACACAATGGATGGAAAATACGGGACCAGGAGTTACGATAGAACCAGCGGGTACCGACACATAGCGTACAAATGTACCTCTAGACATTATGATTCCTCTTCACAAAATCACACTCAAAGCATATAAACCTGCTGGACCATGATCGATACGTACCGACAACTCTCTTTCTCTCTTCATGCAACTACCAACGAAGCTCGCTATAAAACAAAAAAAAGTTAGGTATAAAAAAAGGAAGAAGAAAAAGCAAGTTACCCGGGTATCCTATGATGCCTCCACCACCAATATGTCTCTTTCTCTCTCTCTGTCTCTGTCTCTGTCCTTCTACCTCTCTTTTGTATTCAGCTCCAACCAACCAAGGTAGCTGTTACTGTCTCCCCCCTTCCCCTAGCTTCCCTCTCTGTGCTAACCAAACAAAAAGGATGTCAAAAGCCACGCGCCAAACAACAACAACGACAACAACAACACAAATCAGGTGACTAGGGTAAATTACGGATTATTTTTCGTTGTCCTTAATGCTTCTTCTTCTTCTTCTTCTTCCTCCTTTCTTTCTTGCCCACCCAGCCAAGCCAAGTCCTTCTGTTCGTTGCGTACCCCGAGCCGAGGCTTGGACATCTCCCGTTTTCGTTAGAACAAAAAGCATTTCTTGGGATGTGTCATGACCAACTTCCCCTCCCTTCTTCCATTCCTTTCTTTCTTGTGGCCTGGGCCACCGCCATAGAGTCAGGGCTTCGGTCTGACTGGGGGTATCGGTTTTCTTGCGATCTTGTCTCGAAGCGAGGTTGTCATTATCCATCTACGGGACTGAAGCTTGGAAGTGACGGACTGGGAAGTCTTCCGGCCGACCGAGCAAGCCAGCTAGCCAGCTAGAGTAATTAGACAGCCGGCCGGCCGGCCAACCAGTCAGATCCCATACGTCGACTCCGAGCGGGCGGCCCTCCCTGTGTGTGTTTTATTGATGTCGCAATCGATCGAGGCTAGAAATCGATCACTGCTTCTGGGCAGCCTTCATGTTATCGGACAGCCAGTTGAAGCCCTCCTGCAGACCGGCCTTGTCTATCGCAATGGTGGGTTGTACGGCGTAGATGCGGTCCTTGAGCTTGTTGAGCTGGAGCTTCTCGGTGACTTCCTGGGGAGTCATGGCTGTAGAATGTCTGGTTAGCATAGGTCCATCTTTACCCCTCAGGCTTTTCCAACAAGACCCCCAGTTCGAGCGCAGCGAGCAAAGAAAAAAGAGAGCCGAGCGCAGCGGGCACTTTGTCGAAATAGCAATTCCAAGGGGAAGAAGAAGAAGGGAGTACTCACCACCAGCAATATCCTGCTTGTTAGCAAACACCAACAACAAGCAGTCCTTCATCTCGCGATCATTGATAATCCGATGCAACTCCACCCGCGCCTCGTCGATTCTGTTATGGTCCGCGCTGTCCACCACGAAAATCAGACCCTGGGTACCTGAGTAGTAATGGCGCCAGAGGGGACGGATCTTGTCCTGGCCGCCGACGTCCCAGATGTTGAACTTGATGTTTCGGAGGGTGACCGTCTCGACGTTGAAGCCGACCGTGGGGATGGTGGTGACGTGGTCTTGTAGCTTGAGCTTGTAGAGGATGGTGGTCTTGCCGGCGGCGTCGAGACCGAGCATGAGTACACGGACTTCTTTGGTGCCGAAGAGCTTGGCCATGAAGCCGAGGGACATGACGTTGCCCATTTTGGCGGTGGTCTGGAGGGAGAGGTTGTGGATGTGTGTGGGAGTTGTGGTGGTGGTGGTGGTGGTGGGTGGTTGCGAGTTCGACCGGAGTGGTGTGGTTTAGGTGTCTATGGATGACACGAGCAGTTCAATCGGATCGCGACAAAGGAGTGTGGTGGTGGAAGGGACTGGATAAGTTGTCGACTGGCGATGGGCAGGAAGCGGAATTAAGGAGTGGACTGGAGAGAAACATGTGTTAGTCTGGTTTGTTAGAGGTTGGGGCGTGGTAGCGCACGTAGACTACTGGACTGGAGGTAGTGGTAGGTAATGTAATATGTGCGAGACAGTTGAGGGAACAGTGGGGAGACCGATTAGGTTTCAAGATGGCGACCGGCCATGGTGTAGCGAAACCACTCATTACCAGCCTAGCCTGGGGAAGTGAAGAGAGACAGACAGACAAGCAACATACCTTGGGTATCGTGTTGGTGATTACAATTGGATTAGGCGCAAAGGGGTGTAGTGGTGATGGCGTATGTCGTCTGGCGTCTGGCGTCTGGATGCTTCTTCACGTATGAGAGATGCCGTCGTTGTCGTCGCAAACAGCGCGGGTAGGTAGGTAGGTAGGTAGCGGGCTGTGTATCGCTCGGTAGTAGAGTAGTTGACGACAGGCAAAGAGATTAATTAAAAGCAGGTGCCGTGGGCCGTGGAGTGGGTGAAACCTGGCGGAGATGTAGACGATCAGGCTTGTTGATCCAATGTCGGGCAGTCAGATGGACTGAGGGGAGGGAGTGGGAGAGAAGGGAATGGAGACGGAGACACGACAGTCGACAGACAGGGCAAGTCACAACTGAACAGATGGAAACAGAAGAAGCGCAAAAGTTCATCAGTCAGTCAGGAGGACGGAGCTCAGGAGGGAGGAGGGGAGGGGAATTGGGAGATTTGATGAAGCCAGGCTCAGGCATCGGAGAGAAAGTCCTCGTCTCTGTCGCTCGCTCAGCATGGACTGCGTCGGGTGTTTGGCTTGTCTGGTCGCTAATCCCAGAAGGGAACAGGGCCCTTCTTCCGTGTCGAGGATATTTCCCCCCTGAAGAAGGAGCCAATCAGCGGCCAGATCGGGAATTGCCATTTCCTGCTGCAGCGGGGTCCGTGCTTCCCTCCAGCGAGCCAGGCGTGGCACGACCAGGGAGGGGCCTGTAGTGGGCACTGGCGGGATCCACCGGGAAATTCAAAATGATGATGACGGGAAGCGATGCGATGCTGAGAATTGATTGCCGTGACTACCTAGGTTTTCCGGCAATCAGACTCCCCCATGAACCCGGCAACTTATCTCCGGCAACTGAACAACCACCATGGATGGGATGGGAAGATATGGGATATTTATAGGTAGGTAGACATAATACCGACGAATATACAATCCCCTTGTTACCTACCTATTCGGGCCTCTATTTGCTCTGCTAGGGCAAACCGCCGATATGCTTCCGGCGGCCTCTCCCGAAAATTGAAGGTAGACTTCGCTTCGCTCCACGATGAGGTTTGCGGGACTGGAACAAAGACAAGCACTCATTACATCTCGCCGCAGAAGGGAACCCCACCGAAGCTAGACATATAATCGGTATCATGGATCGGATGAATTGTTGATACCACAATGATATATCTAGTATTCTAAACAGCCCGCTGGGTGTATTCGCTGCTTGTACAAACCATGCCTGCTCCGTATGTCGTATCCTGCGCATAACCACCAAATACCAAAATCTCCAACCCATCCCAGGGCATATGTATATTGCCCTTGTTATTGCCCCAATATCTCTTCTTTCCCCAAGCCAGCGACTAGGTAATCAGAATCCGAGTCGCGCTCATCCGAACCATCATCACCGACTTCAAGGTCGTTGAGCCGAAAGTTCAGGCGTAAAAGGTATTCTATCCTCCGTCTCCTCATCCCCAACATCAGCCTTCTAAGCCCTATACTCCACCACAAACCGTCTCTCCACCAACTGCAGCGTCCCACTATTCTCCTCTCCCTCAAACCTCAACTTGACCCTCTGCTTGCCCTCTCCCTCGCCCTCGGCTTCGGTTCCCATCACCTCCGCCTTGTAGAATGTCGTGCTATCCGGATACAACGCCAACACCACCTTGCCCTTTTCCAGCTTGGGCAGCTTCTTCTCTTCTTCACCCGCCGCGGGGATGGGGATCATGCTCGACGCAGAAGTGCGGTATTCAACGCGCTGGTCCGGGTCCAGGTCGGGATCGGCGTCCTGCACGCGGTACCGACGAGACTTGCCCTCGCCCGAAACCTGTTGCACGCGCCCCAGCATCCACTCGGTGGTTTCGTTTCCCGAGGCCGGAGAGGCTTTGGGCTTAAAGACTACGTCTTGGCCCTTGTGGAAGATGACTTTGGCGCGTTGGGTGGCGCCTGCTGTGGTGGGTCCTGCCGAGGTGGTGCCGTTGGACGTGGTGCTGGTGTTGGGTTCCGGAGGAACCGAATCCTTGGAGGGCGTGTCGCGGGGAGGCACGCTGTCGCGGGCGGTAGAAGCCCGATCACTGCCGGCCGTAGTGTTGGCTCCGCCGAGCTTCCTGGTGTGACTTGAGAGAGGAGAAGGGACGGGTGAGTCGCCGGCGCCGTCAAAGTCGTACATGGAACTCAGATCGCGGTCGCTGTGTTTATCCCTGTCCTTGTCTCCCAACCCCAACTTGTCACCCAACCTCTCCGAGTTACGGTCCCGATCTCGCCCTCCCTCTTTCTCCCCCTTTTCCCTGTCTCCACGGTCCCCACGGTCCTTGTCACCCCGATCACGGTCCCTATCTCCCCTCCCTTCACGATCTCCTCCTCGATCCCCCTTTCCCCCCGCATGCCCCCGGGCCGAACTCGATCTCCCTCCGCTCCCCAAAAGGCTGGAGCTGTTTCTGTCCCGTCCCGCACTACCGGAATGAGGTCCCGGCGTGCCCACGCTATGCACCACCCCTTCGCTCTCCTCCCTCGCCTTGACCAGTGCTCGCAACACCATGACATGCTCAATCACCTCTTGGAGTTTCTGTTTGCTGATGTCGGCGCCGCCCACACCGGCGCGGATGAGCGTGTCGAGGGTTTGTTCTAGGGCTGCAATGTCGGTTTTGTCTTCAGCATTGGATGGGTTCTCTTTTGAAGCTTGTGCTTCACGTGACTTGGCAATCAGAGAGTCCTGAGCGAGGATGGCGCGGATCTGGTCGTTGGAGGCGTTGATGGAATCAACCAGTTCGCGGATCTCGTCTTTGATTTGGGACCAGATCTGGGCTTCCTCGCCTTGGGTGCTGGACGACGAGTTGCGGTTGGGGTTGCGGGATTGACGGTTGCGAGATGACATTTTGGCTGTGTGTGTTTGGGGGGCGTGAGTGCCCCTCCTTGTTGTGTTGTGAGTGAGTGGTGTGGATGAGTGTTTGTGTCTGATGTGGACGTCGATGTTCTCACGAGGTGATGCACGGTGAGGGGGGCCTGGATGGAGATTGGCGAGTAACTTGGACTTGAACAAGGTGTGATTTATTAATGAATTATATAACGTGATTGAGTAAGAAGCTTCCGTCCAGCAGAGACACTTGAAGAATGCCAAATACTTCAGTGGAGAGATAATGGTTTGGTTGAAGAAATTCCCATGACGGGAAGGGAACTTGAATGGGAGCTGGGGGGTTTCATAGAGCGTGAAAAGCACGGACCACCAACCACATGCCCGGCGTGATGTTTTCAAAATGCAGCAAGTTTCAAGGAATGTCCAGATAGAAAGACCGGGAAGCAGGTTGTAACCAGGCCTCAATCATGTGGGCTGCTGCTCCTGCATTTGATCTGGGAAGCAAACTGAAAGAAGGCAGGAAGACGATGCCGCGTGGCGATGGAAGATGTGGTGTTGACATTTCCAAGTTACCGGCAGGCATCTCTACATAGCGCAGTCAGATATGTACCTGGTATCTTGACTACCCCACTTCTCCTCCCGGCCGGCAACTGGGCCACTCAACTCAACATCGAGCGAAGGGCAAGCGCGTCGTCAGCACTAACAATTTCCCCAGAGCATCAACTGGACTTGACTTCCACTTGTCTTATCAGCTTTCACTTCCCGTCATCATCCTCTTGTTCATCACGGCTCAATTTACAACAGATCTGATCAAACCAGACAATGAAATGCCTTACATAAAAAATATGAGAAAAACACACGTCCTCGGCCCTTCCCCAGTGCAACTCTCCCGCCTTTCATCAGCCAGTGTCAGCCAAGCCCGCGTCTTGCCCCAAAGCAGCACACATTCAACGCCCTTTCCGGCTATCATTCGCTGATCAAGCCTTACCCCAACATCCATCACGAATAACCATCGATAAAAGAGTGGTATCTGAGTGGGCTACTTTATCTATCTCCAAGCCTATCAATCCCCAACCCATCCAGCCTCTCCAAGCCAAGATAAGCTTAAACGGACCAACTAACCCACCACGGTCATGTTGGCGTCGAGTGTCCAAACGGTTTGAGGAGAGGGGGTTGTGAGTGGTTGCTGATTCCATCCTTCAAGACCTGTTACCTTATCTTGAAAGACATGTCGTCTTCTCTTCTCTATTTACCTTTTCTTCTTTCTTTATACATCGTTCTCTTTGCCCCTGTCTCGAGAGTCCCAAGATCGCGAAATGTGCACATGGAAAGCCAGTGTTACACCGCCGATAGTGATCTGTAAACGTTGGAGTTTCATTGCATTCGTCTACATCTCTACCGTACATTATTGAAGTACACACATTCTTCCAGCTTGCTCATCTTCATTACACCACGACAGGGCCGGTCTCGAGACCAATTCTTGGTAGACACAACAGTCAAGATGGGCACTCATGACTCCATATCCTCTGTCCAACCCGACCTGGAGCAACCCTCCCATGCCCGCGGCCATGGCAGCGACGGTATCGATGAACTCGACGAGTCCCGTCTCGCCCAGTTCGGCTACAAGCAAGAACTCAACCGCGACTGGGGCCTAGCTCACAACTTTGGCGTATCCTTTTCCATCATCGTCAGTCTCCTCTCTTTTTCCCATATCTCCACACGTCACTAACAGACCACAGTCCGTCATCACCGGTCTCACTACTCTCTTCTCCTATGGCCTCGCCACCGGTGGTCCAGCCGTCATGTCCATCTCTTGGATCGTCATTTCCTTCTTTACCCTTCTTGTCGCCATCGCCATGGCCGAAATCGTCTCCGCCATCCCTACCTCCGGCGGCCCCTATTTTTGGTCCGCCATGCTCGCTCCTCCACGGTGGTCCCCCTTCTTAGCCTGGCTAACGGGCTGGTTCAACTTACTCGGGCAAGTAGCCGTCACGACGGGCATCACATTCGGGCTGGCGGGCCTGGTGTCTACAGCCATCACGGTCAAGAACCCTGATTACGAACCGACGGCTGCCAAGACGATTGGCATCTATGCGGCCCTGTTGGTTAGTCATGGCGTGGTGAACACGTTTGGCGTCAAGGGGCTGAGGTTTTTGAATAATGTGAGCATTGTGCTGCATAGCGCGGGGATCACAGCGCTTTGTATTGCGGTTCTGGCCAAGGCGCCCAAGCTCCAGAGCGCCAAGTTTGTGTTTGGGAGGTATCACGATGGGACGGCGGCTGAGGAAGGGACAGAAGGCTGGGGCCAACGTGCCTCCCCAGCATATGTCGTCCTCTGCGGCGCTTTGCTGTCTCAGTATACCCTCACTGGTTTCGATGCCAGTGCACATCTGAGCGAGGAGACAAAGAATGCGAGTTGGTCTGCACCCATCGGCGTAGTGAGCTCTGTAGGGTTCAGCTCGCTGTTTGGCTTTTTTGTGCTCATGGCTCTCCTTTTCAGCATCCAGGACTTTGAGAGCACGCTGAATAGCAGGTACGGGCAGCCCGTGCTACAAATCTTGGTGGACGTCGCTGGCGAGGATGGCGCCCTGGTCTTGTTCAGCTTGATCATGCTTTGTGTCTGGCATTGTGGGCTGTTTAGCATGACGAGCAATTCGCGCATGATGTTTTCCTTTGCGCGTGACAGAGGCATTGTCAGTCGCCCCCTCTTTTTCTTTCACCTTTTTTTCCATGGGTTGAACTCTACTAACAAGTCCCAAAACAGCCCTCCTTCTTCCACCAAGTCGACGACCGCTTTAAATCCCCCATCCGCGCCGTTTGGCTCGCCGCTACCCTCTCCTTCATCCTCGCGCTTCCCTCCTTAGGGAGCGATGTCGCCTTCGCAGCCGCCACCTCCATCGCCACCATCGGTCTGTACCTCTCCTACGGTCTGCCTATCATGATCGGTTTCTTCTGGCACAAGAACTTTACAGCCATGAAGGGCCCCTTCAACCTCGGCGGTCTGTCCCGTGTCATCGCTGGCGCGGCATGCTTGTGGATCTGTTTCATCACTGTGGTGTTCTGTTTGCCTACTGCCAACCCGGTTACCAGCCAGACGCTGAATTATACCGTGGTAGCGGTGGGGATCATTGCGGTCGGGTCAATAGGGTCGTGGGTCGTTTGGGCAAGACGGTGGTTTACGGGCCCGGCGGCGGAAGTGGCAGAGGCCATGAGGTTGGGTGTCGATATCACTGAGCCGGGGGCGTTGGAGAAAAAGGAGAAGGAAGCGTTGGAGGGTGCGAGGATGGAAGGGGAGATGGAAGCGAGGGAAAGGGAGGAGAAGCAGCCGCCTGCCCTTAGTGAGTAATCAGTTGTGCTCGAAGCATGGTACAATATCAATACAACTTCCTCTCGTTCCATCCGGTTATGATAACCATCAAACGTCAAGTTGCACGAGACTGCCCCCGCCGTGTCTCTTGCGAGCTATCCCGCACCCCTGACTAGGGAACCAAAGGTGAGTAAGGCTAGATGATGGGCACACGGGGCACTTCCGAACCCGACAAGTGAACAGTGATTGAGTACGGACAAGCACGAGGAGACCGTCTAACGACATGTCCTCAGTCGAAGAACATCAAAATAGAATAAAATAGCATTCAGTCAGTTTTTACTGTCCACATCATCAGTCCCTCATCTTCATCTTCATCCTCATCCTCACCCCCCATCCTCTTCCTACTTCCAAATCAAAGCTCCTTTCTAACCAAATCAACAGTCGCACAATGAAACGATCCCCCCAAGCTATTCACATGTCTAAACGGCAACCTCACCACCTCCATCCCAAACTCCTCCTCCAACCACCTCGCAAACCTCTCCTGCCTCTCCTCCACCACAATCGTCTTCTCGTCCACACTCATGGCATTGAGAACCAACCACTTGGAGCACATGTACCTCGGCGGACCCTCATCCTTTTCTTCCTCTTCCTCCTCCTCTTCGGGATTCCACGGCAACGGTCGCAAATCCCAGTCCCTAAAAACCTCGTGCCGTCGGAGTTCCTCCTCGGTGACGCGCGAGGGGCAGTAGATCAACATTCCGTGGCGCAAGGGGAGGATGGTAGCGTCTATGTGCATCGCGTGGTCATCGGTGGTGTTGAGGAGCTCGACGGTGTAAGAGGCGGGCAGCACGGCGCGGAGATAGTCGACGCCCTTGGGGTTAGTGACGTGCGAGAGCTGGCCGATGAGGACGGTGCCGAAGCGCATAAAGTCTGCGCAGTCAAAGGCCGGGCGGGTGTTGTTGATTGCCCAGTGTGTTGTTTGGTTGCCGTTTTGGCTGCCCCTGGGGATGGTCCCGTTCTGTTTCGCACCACCATCTTCTGGCTTGTCGTCATCCAAAAGCCCATCATACAAGGTATTTCCCCCGACAATCTTGGGAGCACGACACACCCTGAGTGACTCGCCTGCTTTCTGCGCGCCTTCCATGATATCCTCCAGAACACCACTGTACGCAAGCTCAATCTCCCCCCTCCTACACCCCCATCCAAAACACGCCTCCACGACTGTCCTCCCCACCACCATCAGTCCATCCCTCGGCATTGCACCGGTATACCCTCCTCTTCCCTCATTCGCCTTGGCCCAATCCACTTCTTTGGGTCTGTACACCTTGATACCGAATCTCTCCGTCATCACACGCGCAAAGTTGTCGAGTTCTTGGTCTGCTTTGGCGACAATGTCTGCTGGAAAAGGGTGGTGAGGACGGAATTCGGGGTGGTGGAGGGTGGGCATGGTTGCGCGGATCATGTGTGGAGGTTCCGAGGGGAAGAGGGAATGGGCGGCACGGCCGATGATGAGGGCGCGGAGGGGGGAGTATTCGTTAGAGGCTGAGATGGTGGTGGGTGAAGACATGGCGGAGGGTGTTGTTGTGTCTTTTTTGAGGACCATCTTGAGAAGCCTTCTGTGCTGGATTTCGGGGTATGGATTGGGTTCAAGAACTCTGACGATTCAGCGTGAGAGGTGTCGTGTACAGGAATCTCCTATTTCAGGGCCTTGCCGGCGACTTATAAGTCAAAGAGGCCCTGTTCGAAGCCTGACTTCCATGTCGTCGCGATTTCGCGCCTCGAGGTTGCCGCTCATCATTCCAAAACGTCATTTGTCCTTCACATGCAGTCCGCCGTCGCTTCATTCCTCGGTTCATCTTCTCATCCAGTCAGCCCCAGCCCGTATATGCCATTCCGAAGGGAACTCACCTCAGCTTGTCTTCTCGTAAAACAGAAAAACCCGCCAAGCAGCCAACCTATCACGTCCCAAACACGATGTTCACTCAACTTCCCCATCCCACGTTCTCAAGAAGGCGAAAGAATTCTGACGTCGTACGGCGCCTTACCCACGCTCCCCAAACACTCGGTTTGGTAATGGAAATTCTGTGAACCTGTCGCTGGGGGATACCATCTAGTAATATGTCTCACCCGCGGGACCTTGAGATCTGCATGATGGTTGGCAATGGCGGGAATACCCTGCAAATGTGGCGTCGCCGCCGTCATCTTCGACCTTTGGCGGCTGGGGTCATCGCGTCTGGTGGGGGGTGGTAATAGTTCCTGGAAGTTCTTCCGATCTTGTCTCACCTGGCGGGACGATCCGGTCCTGTCGGCTTTCGGAAGCAAAGGAAGTTTACTTACCGCCTTTTTTGGGAAGAATTGAGCAGGTATTTGCGGGGAAGGAGAGGCAGAGACGCATCTATATCTGTTGTGGGACGTTGCTCTTGGCTTCAGAAGACGGGCTGGGACTCGAGCTCGAGACCTGGAATTGTGCGATGCGCGCCTTCTTCAGTTCTGGAAGCGATCATGAATAAGCGGGATCTCGAGCAACAAAAAATGGGGTGAATGGGTGAGGCCCGGGAGAGGAAGAAAAAAAAAGGAGTGGCTTCCGTACCTTCCAACTTGTACCCATCCCGAGCCCTCCAGTCCTCATGTCATCCGATATCAGAACCCGCCTAATGGCCATATAAGGGACCTGGTTGGCTACCCCGTCCAACAACAACCGCTTGGTCAGATGGCACAGTGGTCTACCGATTGAGTCTCTAAAATTCCAAAAAACAAAAAAAACCTATTATCTGTCCGGATCGGGAACGGTGTGCTAAGATACGAAAAGGGGTCTTCACATTCTAGTAGCCGGTCTACCTATATGGTATCTGGGAACGCTCCAGTCGACAGAATGAGACATTCATACGGTTCACCATTGCTCTGAACGAGCGGTTGTTGTTTTTTGCCCCCTTTTCTGTTTTCGCTTGTTTGTAGAGGTGGTGCGTTCGAACAATGGTTCGTGGCTTTTTTTTGGTCTTTTTCTTCGGCGCAAACGTTTCCAGCCTTTCCAATAGCTTGATCAGCGAAGAAGTCCCTACTTCATTGATACCACTTGTTGAATTGATAGACCAGCCAAGGCCATGAAGGGAGATGGGAGAAATTGAACCATAAATGGAGGCTTGCGTTTGACAGAGGGGGTAGGGAGTGTAGCTGGCAGTATATCGTGATGGCGTGGGGGTGTTTCGATCTCTTGATGCACATGGGATGATTACCGTTGCCAACAAACGTATTGCGCAGTGCTGGGAATGGCTGGCGTGATGGCTTATTCTCGGTTCATGATGGGTATTGCTGACGAGGACTTGTCAACGGTGATTACAAAGAGAACCTATTGCTTCAATTGATGAAATTACCCAAACGGAGACGTGATGTCGCGGACATACCTCGTTCCATTCCTCGTTCTTCCGATCCCATACGGGTACAGTTGGTAGACACTGAAATCAAAAACACCAACAAAAGTCAATGTCATCAAACAGCGGCACCTTCATAAAGTGTCAACCTCGGTCAGGGCAAATGACGGATGTCTCCTCCTCTGGTGTCCATGTTGATAGCACTTTCCCATCTTCGTGAAGCCATATAAGCAGCCTCCACACGCTCCTTCCAAGCAACTCTTGAACAGCACATCACATCGCATCCGCTTCCACTTCCACTTCCCATCACTTCACGAAACTCACAACTTTGACAACCAAAATCACCAAACCAGCATCCACTAACCACCACACAACACTCTACCATCAAAATGATCTTCAACATTCCCCTCCCCACCACCTTTGGCGAGCCCATTCCCACGGTTCCCAGCAAGCCCATCCCTACCGTACCCAGCAAGCCGGTTCCTTCCAAGCCCAGCAACAAGCCCGAGCCCGAGGACGAGGACATCTTCACCCCTTACACCTTTGGTGAACCCATTCCTACCGTGCCTAGCAAGCCCATCCCTACGGTTCCTAGCAAGCCCGTTCCCAGCAAGCCCGGCAACGGCAACAAGCCCGTTCCCAGCAAGCCCGGCAACGGCAACAAGCCCGAGGAGTTCGAGTTCGACGGTCTCGTTCCCTTCCATACCTTGGGCGAGCCTATTCCTACCGTCCCCAGCAAGCCTATTCCCACGGTTCCTAGCAAGCCTGTTCCTGGCAAACCTGGCAACAAGCCTACGGATGAGGACACGGATCTTGAGGATGAGTACTAGATGAGGAACGGTGGAGGTACCGAGCCTATACGGTTGAGCACCAGGGGTGAAAGGAAGGTGAAGGGGAGGGAAGAAGGAATGAGGAGGAAAAGACGGATGGTAGAATGAAGGGGTCATGCATCTCAAAAGAGGGTATTATCAATTATGGAGGGTCGACCACGGTACCTCATACACAACTGATTAGCCGATTAGAGAAGCGCCTCGCCGTTGAGACGATGGAATTGATGGGAAGAAATATGTGGATGAGAGCGTCAGAGGTGAAAGTGCATTGAGTTGGAGAAGAATCGTGAGACATAGCGAGAGTGAGATATATAAGAAACCACAATCGTCATCAATAGAAAATCCCTCCTTTGCCCATGTTCAGCAAGTGACAAGGCCCATAGGATCCGATGAGGTCCGTGGAAGCACATCATTGGTATCTTCAGAGGTCGACCTATGCCCTGTAAGTCGTTCGAGTGGGACTATCCTCCTACACAACTCAGCGGCTGCATGAATGACGAGTGTCCGACTCCAGGAGAACTCGGGCGGTGACGATAACTGAATGCTCTTGACAGGATCATGAATGGATGCGAGCTGGCTGAGATATCAACTTGACGAAAAATGAACATTCCTCTCTCACTCCAGACGATGGGTCAATGTGTTGCTTGAGAGCCCTCATACCCAACTCAGACCAAGCATCATGACTGGTAAAAGCACAACTGGGGCCTCTGGCGAGGACCTCCTATGTCTTCCATCAAACAACCGAAGAAGACGGCATCTCGCTTTTTAGTGAGCCACCAAGGGGTGACAGTTCGTCAATATGGCACTGGCTTTCTCTAGTCTTGAACGGGACACTAGTCGGCTTATTAGCAATGGGCTGGTTTGACAATAATGAACTCAGTGCTCAGAGTGATGCATTTCCAACCCGATGGACAGTCTATCACCGTTTCACATTCTCCCCACCCCGTCACTTGAACGATTGACAGGATGCACTAACTCCCGCCGACGATGTAAATCTCAAAGAGACGGTCGTCTTCCTCGGTAGCCTGCACCTCGACAGGACCGAATACCAAAGCCCTTCTCCTTCCGGTGAGGTCAACGCCAACTGGGAAACCCTGTAAAGCAGTAAGAGGCCCTTTCTTTCCCAGGCCTCTCACAGTACTCCCATCCCTTGAGACGAAATGCAGTATCCGAGGCCAGGACACATCAACGCTTGCAGACATGTCCTCCCCCTTTGCAACGTTTTTTTCCGTCTGGAAACTCCTCAACAAGACCACCCACCTCTCCGGGAACCCCCAATCCTACGTGATCCAGCTCGTGGTCTTGCATAACCTCCAGAGCTTCGAAAAGCTCCGCAAACTCGTATCCATCCATTCTTCTCACTCCCAAGCTCAAGACCGTTTCCAACACTCACACTCCCAGACCTCCCATGAAGAAGAAACAATCCACCTAAGACACTGCTTTCGAAGGTTTTCGGGAGTCATTTGGAGTGCTCAACGGATACTAGTGCCTTGTTCCCGAAAATGAAGTCAGAGGAGACAGTTGATGGCGGTCAACACGTGGACGACGCACACGTGTAGGGATTGGGAGAAGGTTAGGGACTGGGGGCTGGAGCACTGGTATTGGGGGTCCAAGGGTCTTGGGTGTGTTGCTGTCGAAGTACCAGGGTCAACGAATTTGATGCCTCATGCCGACAGACGTCGTCACTGGCGGTGTCAGGGTGGGTGAATGAGGTAACGAGGTGTGACAACTCATTGGCCGGTCAGCATCACTTGATCGCATCGAGGATGTCCAGGCTTGGAGGAGCAGGCGCAGGATGACGTTGCCAAAAGAGAAAATGCCGTCTGAAGGGTGACTTTTGCTCGGAGACAGTCCGCCGCACTCTGCAGGTACAAACACCGAAAATTTCTCAATACTTTTTTTTTTTTGGGAATAGGATCGTCCTCGGAATTTGCCCTATGTGGTAAGTGGCAGATGTGTGAGGGTGTCCAGCCGTCGATCAGACAAAGAACTAGAACTCGATCGCCGATGCCATGCTGCACTAACAGCTCCTGTGTGTAATTATGTGAGTAATTGTTAGTACACGTCAGGCACGTGGTAACTTGACACCTTTCGGTTTGTCGCCCGTGTGTTTGGTGCATCGTTCCAGCGCGGGCAAAAGGATGATGGCCACACCAATGCTGGCATCCGACAGTCTGTCTTGGGGGACCAAAGAAAAGGGAATCAAATGGCATTTTGACCAAAATGTCGATATGGCGGTAAAATTCATGGTGGCCGATCTTGCAACGCTGTCGACAATACGACGGGGGACGGGAAGCACACATTTTTTTGTCAGCGTTGCAAAGAAGAAGATTGGCGAGGAGAAAAGAGAAGAAAGAAGCAAGTGCACAGTAACCGACAAGCCGATCACAAAATCTAGACCAGTGTGGACCGAGTGTCAGTGTCACCATTCAACGGCAAGAGTGTGCGGGCAACCGCCTTCCCGACGTCATCCAAACCCGGGTGTGCTGGTTGTTCAAGTTCTTGCCTTCTTGTCCCGTTGCTGCCCGTTTCATATCGAATTGAGAAAGAGGGGAAATTGGACCATGAGAACAAAAAGTCGTCCAATTACCCCGCCGGCCGGGATCTCCTCTCTTGTCCTTCGGTTGACGTCCCGTTGGAAGGCAGTGGTATCTTGAAGTACCTCTTGTTACCCCTCATCGCTGCTTCTTGGTGTTGGCGGATGATTTCAAAGGATTCAAGTTCCTTCACCGTACACGTAAACAATTTACTTGGTCGAGTTCGCATCGTAGCCACTCACTGAACAGACATAGCGGCTGATGGCGTCTTCTCAGCGCCAGCTCAGCGACAGCGCCAGCGACGGAGATAACGAATGCCCTGCCACAGCTGACATCGCAAATCCCGAGTTGTCCTCCGCCTCAATCTAGCGGATGGCTTATGGCAGCGAGATAGCAGTTGCTGCAGTGACATTGAAATAGCTTCGATATGATGCCAGCCGACGATAGTCTACGCCTTTGATCCCAACTTGGTATAGAGATCCGAACCAAACATGGCATCGGCCATCCATTCAGGCTGGATGAAGCTGACGATAGTTTCGTTATCACTGCAGTATCAGATTGGGCTTGACAGGCTTCATCCAGCCCAGCCACTCGACGTCCACGAACGTCGGCGCATGGATTCTTTAGGCACCGCCAAAGTAGCATTCGACAGCCACACTGCGCCAACCTGAAGATATCGTCGCGCTGCCGTGGTTGTTTCCTGCTTTATCAATTCCCGTTGCTATTTGGGTCTGCCCAATTCGCCCAACCGACGGCTGTAATCTCCCCAAAGAGGTGATAATCTTAGCGCCCGAATTGCAACCTCATATCATTGACTGTAACCATGTGAAGATGTCGTAAAGAAGGATTTCTTTTTCATGTCCCGTCTCTCTGATATCGAATACCCCTGGACACATAGTCGTTGCTGTCAGGTCACCGCCAAGTACCTACTGTGACTTACCACCATGGTGTCCCCTGGCTTTTTCCATGTCTCGAGTGTTGTTCACCACGACATCAACATCATGTACGCGGCAAACCGTAGGCGACAAAGAGGACAACATCGACGTGGTGGTGAATCCTTGGCTGTCCGTAGACCGGATGCAGTTTGATGTGATGTCTGGTGAAGAGCTGAAGATGCGTTGAAGAGGAACAAGGAAGAACCCATTCCCCCATTCCAAGAAAGCGTCAAACCATCCAAGGCCGCATCCTCGAAAGGCAGCAGGGCGGACAACGGCACCCAGACCCCCAAAATAATTGTTAGGATCCACTGTCCATTGGACACCGACCCCAGTCCTGTCCGGAGTACCCAGTGCATTGGTCCTTCTCCTTCACACATGTTCATCTCTTGCAGTTCAGTGCTGTTCAACGCTGAAATTGACCGCACTCTTTTTCCTGCTTCCATCCATTTCCTTGCTTGACACAAAAGCTTGTTTGAACGTTGAGCTGAGGTTTCCCGTCCCGTCCTCATCTGTACCGTCTTTTTACGTTTTCTGTTTTCAGGTTCACCTCGGCTTCGTATCATCCCCTCCCCCCTCCCCCCCATAGAAACTCCGACTCGTATTGGATATGAAACGGCACTTATGCTGCTCACCTTCTTTTTTGCAGGAGAAGGCAAAAAAATGAACACCGCAATGGCGGGGTTGGGCTCGGAAAGGTGAGCGGTGTGAGGTGAAAGTGGATGTGGGAAGCAGACTTCAGTTGCGGGTGCAGGTGCTATTTGGGACACTGTGGAGTCGACTTGTCAGGTGGGGTAGCGAAGCTTCCTTCGCGCCATTTGCCCTAACAACTCCGCGATCTCCTCGCAGTCCTCCTTCTGGGGACGTACCCAGGACGCCCGGTGATGTGCAATTTTAGAATAGACGAACGGGCATGAGTCCGAGACATCTTTCTATGGATCTCACATCTAAATGCTCATCACTCGTTTTCCATACGTCCCTTCCATGGCTGCTTCCGAAATCGCGAGACAGGTCTTCGCCTCGAACGGCATCAATCTTGCTCAAACCTGAAGCTGGGAATGCCTTCCCCCCGTCCGCCCGCCACCAGACAACACCAGACCAATGTAGGTACGAGGAGGTACATTAGCCCCAGGGGCCATGTCCATCCCAAACGGCTGGCTATTGGCCAGAAAAGCCCAAGATCCTGATGGGCATGGCAGGCCCCGGGTCCAAGGAAGCAACCAAGTCTTCGTCTGTCTCCTCATCAATGATCGTATTTCCCGCCGCCTACCGTCTCCCCTTCCGGCCCAGTAAGTAAGCTTTTTCGCACTAGAAAACAAGGTCAAGGGGCTGGCCTCTGGAGCATTCCGTCTTTTTGTATAGTGTAGACTAAATAAACTGAGACTACGTGATTCGTGCAAGTAAGTAGTGTAGGACTAGTAGAGACAGGGTGGAATGGAGTGTGCTCCGAAGGGTACTTGTACAAGTACATATTAATCCCCACGGCTGCCCAGATTCACATCACCTCATCGTTTTCCCTCTCTTCCATTCCTCCCCCTCAACGTAATCGTCCACTGACTTGAGAGCAAATACATATACAAGTTGGGTAGAACAACAGAAGCAACAGGCACCGTCGAGGTCACAGTCGTCGCAATACACCGACAACATCATAGGGCCCCACCACCATCCAGACCTAATCAGGGCGCTCGAGGGAATCTCTTTTACCGACATACATCCAATTCCAAGTACATAACCACACCTCCATCCGAACGAATCGAACGAAATCTCCAATTTTGCTTCTGAGCCCCCTCCAGACCTTCCAAACAAGATTGTGGGTTCCAGAAAAAGAAGGGTGGCGACAGCTTGACGGAATTTCCATTATAAACCGCGAAGCTCCTGTACCACCCAACCAGGCGAACCGAAGCGCATTGAAGTGGAGGTTCGAGTCGAAGCGAACCACACACACACACCGACCACACCATCAGCACAGCACAACAAGCAGCACTCGCCAGCGTCTGGTTGCTCAGTCGCTGCCCGACGAAATTGACAGTCGCTTTCGAAGAAGAACAAGTTGTATAAAAACAGGCCCGTTCGCCTCTTCAACTTTTGTTGGACCCTCCAACTCGACATAAAACTCGACACAGGTTATCGTGCACGCGCGTTCTTCCACACCGGCATACCACCGCCGATCAGTAACGCATCATATACTGTCGATCATCCATCACTACCCCTTATTTCTTCAGCTTTTCTTGAAGGGTTGGGGCGAAAGAGAACGCACGGAATCGGGCGAACCAAGCACGCACGACTCGTTGGACAACAAACAACGACAGACACAACACCAAAACAGCTATCCTCAAGCTATTCCAAGCTGTCCCGAGTCTTGCCTCACCAATACGTCAGAACTACAACACTGTCGGAAAAGGGACGGACAAAACCACCGAGGCACCTCGTTCACCTCCGGTCGCTTTCAAGAAGAAAACAGCACACACGTCCGATGATCCGGCCATTTGCGGTACTACCACCATTACCATCACCATACTACAACGCAGCAGCAGCAGTAGCAGCATCATCAGTAGTAGTACCTCTGCAGACATCAGACCTGCAACAAGCACAACAAGCACAACGTGCATATCCTCTCTACTTACAATCACAACCACAACCACAACAACCATAACTCCTTTTTTCTTTATCTACCCCACCCAAACAACCTTCAAAATGAACACCTACCTATCTCACCCTTCCTCCCTTTCCTTCCACTCCATGCCTGAACCCCCCTCCTCCATCACCTACCACAACCACAACCACAACCACAACCACAACCACAACCGCGACCTCGCTCTCCAGACCTATCTCGCTCTGCACTCCCAGCACGAATCCCTGATCCAACACCTTGACGAACTCCGCCCTTCCAGCCCTTCCACCTCCCCCACGCGCTCCGGCCCCCACCATTCGCACGACGGCGGCCGCTCCTCCCCGCTCCCTCGACAGCGTCAACGCAGCGGATTCGGTTGTATGTCCGCTACCGCCACCGCCACCGCTCCCACCTTTGGCGGCAGTTCTTCCTCGCTTGCCAGCTCGTCGGTGCTGGATGACCAGACACTGCTGCACCACGCAGCGGAAGTGGCGCTGGAAGAAGCCAAGCTGTGCGATGTCAACGAGGGCATCAAGCGCACGCTGACGGAGCTGTTGAACTGCGAGGCGACGAGAGGGGAAGGGAACAGGCAGTTTCGGAGCTGGGTGCAGGGACGGTTGATGGAGGCGGAGAGGGAGTTGAGGAGGGGAAGGAGGAGGAGGAGTGCGGGATCGGCTTGTGGGGGTGAGTAAAAGGCGGAAGCTACCTAGGTACGGGAAAATGAGCAGAGGAGGTTCATTCAGTTTACACAGACAGGATGACAGCTGTGGGCTGTCGTCTGCACTTTTGGCAGCAGGAGGGTTCGTCATAGGACGAAAGCTGCGTTTACGTACGGCGTCGTCTGCAAGATTGTCTATCACGACGACGTCTTTGATGGATTGACAAGTCCTACAACTTGGGGAGCGTCCATCCGCCTTTCCCGATTTTCTTTTGGATCGCCCGAGGTTGGCGGACCACATTGTTTGTGTTCTGCATGGACATTTTGTTACGACTTGGCTTGCATCTTAGCTTGGAGTTTACGGGTTGTTTGGTTTCTTGTTTATTGTTGTTGCGCGTGGAGTCTTTCTGTCTGGACTTTTATTTTTTCCCGTGTCACATTTGGTCTTCGGACTGGTTATTGTCGATCGAAACTTCGAAACCATTTTCAACAACTCTCATCGGGAAACACCGGCCAGCAATATGGAGCAATCTTGAATCGTGTCTCCGTCATGCAATGACATCGACATTACCAATTTCTATGGGACCCTTGTCATGGAGCCACACCCAGTTGGAGCATCTCGCTTCGCCCAGCCGCCGAGGATCCGGGTTCGAGCAGAGGGTTCGGGAAGCATGGCATGAATCCGAATCCGGGAGAAGTGGAATCCCAGCATGGCTGTGTCGCCGTGTCGCGAGATGGCAGAAACATGGGACAACCATGTTTGGCAAATGGTCGGATAATTTCGCCCTTGGCAATCATCGCGACGACATTCTATTTTCGGGGCTATTCGGCGGCGGCGGCGGCAGGCAGAAGAATCGAAGCACGGATCAGGGGAGGAATCGAGTGTCACTAGAGTGGGAAGCATGATCATCATCATCAGTTCACGGAGGATTTCATTCAACCAACAAAGCATGTTATGGAAATTGGGAGGGGACGAACGGAACAGAAAGGGGACAGACAAAAGCGACACTACGAACCAGGGATTCGTCGCATGATCACCTGTCTATGCATAGGGGAGCACAAAACTTATTATTTGTTTATTTGTAATTTTTAGTGTTGTTTGGCCGCCAGGTTTTCGATATCGATTTGGCATTTCTGGGAGGGCGGAAAGAATGAAGACAAAACAAGTTTTGACCATATTTCGGATCCTACAAGATTCCAATGCTCGATGTGAAGATGCTTCGTAAATGCTGCTGCCGCCATGTTGACGCACAGCTCGGCGTTTCGTTTGTCGGCCATGCGACGATGATTTCAAGTTGCTTGATCAATCCGAGTCGTGCATTCGAGATTATCGCCAGTGACACAGTTTGAGTGTTGCAATCCCGATCGCAGACGACCAAGATCTGGGGAAACAAGAAAAAGAAAGCAAGTCGACTGCCCAAAAATGGGGTGGTAGTATTCGGGTTTGCGGAGTAGCGAGTCTAGACCACTTCCTTGGTGTTGTGATCAGGACCTCGAACGCGGAACGACGGCAACGAAATCTGGAGACTGGTGCAGCCAAAGTGGAATGCTCGATTCCCATGCTTCGCTTAGTGAACCCTAACCTGAAAATGCAAGCTGTCGGAGCCGTTGGATAACTTTGGCGCGTGTTTGAGAAGAAGAGATCACGTGTTTCCGTGCCGTGAAGGAGCTTGGGCCAGTCTCGATTGAGGTCTTGCGGCAGGCAGCTTTTCTATGATAGTGTACAGTTCCATACAACGAACTGCCTGCCATCCAAAGTTCCAAACGTCACTGCGATTGACTTTGACTTTGACGGGCGCGAAACGACCAGACGGAAGACGGAAGACGAAGATTCCATTTCCCTCCCATCTACAACCTCCTCTGAAAACACAGCCCAACCACCGAGGCAGCGTCTACTATATCTGTTCCCTCGCATGCGCCACGCCAAACTTGGACGCGCCACCCACGATTGCCCACGATGTCGGTCCTTCTCGAGACCAGCGCCGGCGACATTGTGATTGACCTTTTGGTCGATTACGCGCCCAAGATGTGCGAGAAGTCAGTATCATCTAATCTACCCCAACCAACAAGCCACATACTTACCGTGCCACCAACAGCTTCCTCAAACTCTGCAAGGTCAAATACTACAACTTCTCGCCCATCCACTCCATCCAAAAGTCCTTCTCCTTCCAGACCGGCGACCCCCTCGGTCCCTTGTCCTCCGAATCCGATGGCGGACAGTCCATCTGGGGCCTCCTCTCCGGCGACCCCTCGGAAAAGACCTTCCCAGCCCTCTTCCACCCCAAACTCAAACACCTCGAGCGTGGCACCGTCAGCATGGCCACCGTCCCGCACCCTTCCGACCCCGATACCCGCCTCGCCGGCTCCCAATTCATCGTCACCCTCGGCGACAACACCGACTACCTGGACGGGAAGGCCGCCATCTTCGGCAAGGTCGTCGAAGGCTTTGATGTTTTGGAGAAAATCAACGACGCCATCGTCGACGAGCGCGGCCACCCCCTGGTCGACATCCGCATCAAACACACCGTCATTCTCGACGACCCGTACCCTGACCCGGCCGGCATGCGCGAGCCAAGCGCTTCACCACCGCCCAGCAAAGCCCAACTAGCCACGGTCCGCATCGCCGAAGGCGAAGAGCTACTAGATGTCGAAGCCAGCGAAGAAGCCGCCGCCGAAGCAGAACGAAGGCGTCGAGAGCGCGAAGCGGCTGCACAAGCACTCACGCTGGAAATGATGGGCGACCTACCCTTTGCCGAAGTCAAGCCGCCCGAGAACGTCCTGTTCGTGTGCAAGTTGAACCCAGTAACGACGGACGAAGACCTCGAGCTGATCTTTAGCCGGTTTGGCAAGATCTTGAGCTGTGAAGTGATCAGGGATCAAAAGACGGGAGACAGTTTGCAGTATGCGTTTATCGAGTTCGAAGACAAAAAGAGCTGCGAGGAGGCTTACTCCAAGATGGACTCGGTGTTGATTGATGACCGGAGAATCCACGTGGATTTCAGTCAGAGCGTCAGCAAGCTGAGTGATGTGTGGCGGTCAGAGACGAACTCAAAGAGGAAGAGTGCGGCGAGGAGAGGAGGGGGTGGAGGATGGGGTGGTGTTGACGAGTTGGAGAAGTGGAGGAAGTATAGAGATGAGGATGTTGAGTGGCGGAATGACGATAGCTATCAGATGGTGCACGGAGTGGAGGACTTGAAGGGGAGGAGGCTTGATGGTGATAAGCCTCCTGCTAGGGATTCTCGACCTGATGTTGGTGGTGGCCGTGACAGGTCCATGTCTAGGCGCAGTAGGAGTCCTCGAAGGGACCGTGACCGGCGGGACGACCGTGACAACAGACGCGGGCCAAGAGATGCTGACCGCCGCCGAGATGATCGAGACTCGGACCGCAGAGACAGACGCGGCGACCGTAGTCGTGACCGATACCGCGACCGAGACTACAATGACAGGGACCACCGCAGAGGCAGAGACAGAGACAATAGAGGTCGCGATGACTACAGGAGGAGGTAGGCACGCACGCACACACAGCAAACTTGCATTAGGGGGGCATATTCTATCTTTGTCGCCCCAGATCCGCCGCCAATCTCTCTCCCCGAAAAAAATGCACATTTCGGAACCGAGATCTGCCTTGGCTTGTTACAGTCTGGCTGAATAGGGCTGACACTCGTATGCAATAATGTTGGGCTACCACCACCACGACTACTTACTCCATCGCTTACGAGCATCCAACTGTCTCGGACCTAACCTAGCTTAATTGGTTTGACACGAACGAAACGAAGACACGCGCACCTCTAGCCGACCTTTCAGTTCTCTTCATGCAGACGAGACCTTACGTAAGCTATTTCGCCTCTACGTTGCTTCATGTCTTCGTCAATGTAGACATGTTGCACTGCCCGACCTTACAGAGCAAAGGGGGAAAGCAAGTCTCGACAACCGCCGTCTTCCGAAGGTTTGCTTGGACTTACCTCTAGTGTATGGCAGGTGTCTGCTGATGGATGGGCCAACTGCATGTCAAAGCGCACCTTGCCTCATCATCATTATCATCAAAGTCAACCAACCTTGTACAGAGACTGAAGAGAGCTCGGCAGGACTTGCCCGGCTTGGTTTGACGATTACATTCCACCGACCTGTTCCACGTCAACTACTAGGTTTGACTTTGGCGCGCCAGGTGCCAATCAAGGGAGGCATGTAAAAGCCCCGGGAGGGGAGGCGTATCAGATTGTCAGCTCTGAACTTCTCTCTCGTGCGTAGTGAGTGGGTTTTACTTGCTTTGCGGCCACACAGAAGCTTTATCGATGCTCTTGTACCTCCTAGCTTGTGATAATATGAACGATACTACACTACACTACACTACGGGGCTACGGCATCTTTACTCCGCCAACTGTATCTGCTCAGTTCGTCACATTTGAATGCGGATAATGGGCGAAGAGGGGAGGTAATGGGTAGTACAAGGTGCCACTGGCTCGAGGGTCTGGTCGTTGCGATGCACCACTTGAATGAAGCTGGACTTTCACAACTTCCCTCAGAGGGTAGCAGATGCACAACATCAGCCGATGGTTACGCGTTGGCGTCAACGTCAACGGCTGTCCGCGAATCAAACGATATTGCACATCGCCTTGCCTCCGCATTTCCTTCTTCGCTCCTCGTCTCGCGGCGACCTGAAGACTTGAACAAAGCCCAGCCCACGGCCAGGCGGCCACCACGCCCTCTGGTCCGTCCGTTTCAACAACCAACGGACAGCAGGCGAAGTCGTACGCGCACACACTCACACACACAATACGCGGCCACCCACATCCAGCCGTTTACTGCAAGGTACCCCTTCCTCATCTTTTCGCTTGTGTCAGGCATACCCGCCGTGTCCCCGATATCAGTTAGATCGTCGGACCGAGTCCGGCAGATCGTCTACCATTTGGGGTTTCGCTGTTTGGCTATGCTTGTGGATTGAAACAGTGCATTGTGGTGCGAGTGTAGCGGTTGATTTGCAGCATTGCTGAACAGGTATAGCTCAAGGTTGCCAGTTGATGTCGGAGTTTTCATCATTGATAGCGACAGAGTGTGTCAACAAGGGTGCCAACAATACTAGCACTGCTTCTTCAAGCATCGGGAGTATCCTTGCAGGCCTTGTTTGTCTTTTAGGTTTGCCAGGTCTGGGTCAATCTCGTTGGTGATGGTGATTTGCAGGCGACGGGTAGAAGCGCGCCATCAATCCATCGAGTGCACAGAAAATGATCGAGGGAGCAGTTGTGGCCATGGATGGGATATGACAATCTGGAGTCAGGGAGATAACACAGTGGTTTGACACCATTTGGATGGGCCATCGAGATTGTGTCGCCCCAGGGTATTTGCTGGACAAGCGAAGACGGTCGATCGGAACCCTCGACTGCAGCCACTTCGGACAGAAAAATCACAGACTCTTTTTTATCCGATCCGAACCCCATGCTCCCTCTGGGCTCCCCTCGAATCAGGTTGCGATGGATGTGTTTCTGATGACGCTGGTTTCATACTCTCGTGGCTTGCGGAGACGTGAGAGGCTAGTGTGCGGCGCAAAATCTCGTGTTGCGGGTTTTGATCATGTCAGGGCCACTTCAATATCTGCAAGCCACGAGGTTGAAGGGTTCTATCCCAGCTCTGGGCGAGTTCCGAGGAGGTTTGATTTCGGTTGCGACGTGGACAGGGACGACGAAGATGTCGAGAGGGTGAGAGCAACAGGGCACACAAGTGTTTCCTTGACGGACCTGTAAAATCGGAACTAGCTGTCAGCTTCAAGCTCATTCGTCAACTACGACACCATCTCTCATGTCTTGCAGTTTTAGCGGGCAGTACGTGCAACCACTGGGCAACGAGGGGGACGGGTATGTGCATGTCGGGGGGCAGAACAGCAAGGGCACATCAAGAGCTTCGTTGACAGCGCGGACGGCGGATACTGTACCATGGGCCACTGCAATTATCCGAACGCCTTTCTTCGAGCCTAGGCCGTCCAAATTCTTCCCCAACGGCAATCCCCCCAACGACACCCTCAAATTCGAGTGCAGCCATTCGCCAATCTTGTCTTGTTGGCATGTGTGTCATATATCTATCCGCACCTCGTGCTGGCGTTTCGTCTCCGAAGATTGATGGAAGGGTCCGTCCGAATAGTCGCTGCCGATTTTGCCGTTGATGCCACACAAACCTGCTTGGACGTGAGGCGAAGCGGCGACTGGCGGAAGGATTGGAGGACTAGCACCCAACTTCAGATTTAGGGGATCTGCCACGATATGCAGTTCGAGGTCTAGGTTATATATCATTGGCCGAGGGCCCTTCCGACAAACATTTACATTGCCATGCTTCTAGGCTCGCTTCTGGCTTGCTTGGGGGCGCAACATTGGGGCCTGTTATAGGCTTTTGAGGCCTGGCAGCGTCAAGTCGATACGAACTGCCCTCGTCGGTAATCTTGGCTGCTGATAACGATGTGTTGTATGCTCGGAACTTGACTGTTGGGCGTTGCCGAGCCATCGATCACCATCAACGGTCGACAGTCGGGCGATGTATTGGATGGATGTCGGACTGGAGGGTTGGAGACTCTCTCGTGTTTGACGATGACAGCTGGCAACTGAAGCAGATTAGGAGTTCAAGTTGCAGTTGCAGGTGCAGTCGCGTGACATGCAAGTAGAAGAGGAACCGACGGACGACTCCCTAATTCCGTTTCGGGCTTCCTTCCTCCAATCGATCTGATCTAACGACAGTAACTCCTTCCGAAAGACCTCTTTGAACGGGACATGTATCGGCAACGTCCAGTCTCGTACCGCGCCCGTGCCCATGAAGGCTCTCGGACCGGACCGAGTGGGCAGGAAGGGGAAGGCAGGGGCCGGCCGATCATTTCAGTGTCAAATGTGAGAATTTCGGACGAAAGCAATACCTTTACAGTAAGTATCGCGCCATTACACTACGTACCTACACACAGCACTATTACCATGGCGGGACTTTTTGTGTCCAAGAGTAGGTAATAGGTAGTACTGGAATTATTCTTCGTTTGAAATCATATGCAGAACATGATGGCATGACGAATTGACCGTTGGCGCTACCTACTCGTGGGCATGCCATGCCTTGGGAAGAAGTCGTCCGTTGGCAACAAATCGGAAAAGGCAACTGAACCTCATGGCGTGGACAGCAAGAGATCGCTCACATTTTGTGAGTGCCGGTGCAGGTTCAAGGCGATCAGATCACTCTCAGCAAAAAGTGATAGAATCAGGGGTGCCTTCCTTGGGACCTTCCTTGGCTTGGGTTGTTGGTTTGTGCCCGAATCACCCTTGGAAGGGCTGGCTGGCTGGGGAGGGGGCACTGGGGCGGCGCCCGTTCGCTGCTCCAGTTCTGCTCAATCTCGCCATGCCGTTGTGTTTGCTGTCAACATGATGGAAGGAGATGATGTCAAGGGGTGTTGGTTCTTCCACCATAGATACTACTTGCCCCTGTACATGGCAGCATGGCGTCCGTCTTCAATTTTGGCCTTCTTCTTCCTCAACCCTCGACAGTCTTACTTCAACCTGGTATCGATCATTCATTTGACTGCGATCAATCGGATTCTTTTCAGCATGATCACGACAAGCAGAACTTGAGAGGGACCGGACCGATGAAGATTGAACACTTCAAGTTGTTCTACTTTGCTCATTAGCATTAGGTCAGCAAGAGGGAGACCGGCCTGACCTGGCGATACCACGCTAGTGACGCACGACAGACAGCATGAAAAAGCAAACAACAGACACTGCAGTCACTCGCTCAGTCGCAGTACAACTGGAAGCACAGTGGGGGGAATGAGGAGAGAGGGGGAAAGAACGAACTGAAGCTCTTTCCTTTTGACAAGAGGGGCATAAGTTCAGGTTCAGCTTATTTGGCAGGAGCAACTATTCCACCTTGGGCATGTCGCAACACCTTCCTTGGCTTTACTCAATGAGGAAGGGGGGGAACAGCTGAATTCTGACTGCGTCATGTAATCGAATGCCTCTTGTGCCTGCCAAACAACATTGCACTGACCTGGGGCATCTTCTGTCCTGTCACCACCTAAACTGAGTCCCGGCCGTTGTTTGGCATTGCGCTTCTGCCCACCGACTTCTGTCACTTATCACTTTTTTTTCTCGCGGAAATCGTCATTTATATCCGTTTGAAGCGTCTGCTCTCGTCAGCCTTGCATGAGCGGGGCCAGATGCCGAACGGCCGGTGCAACATCAACAGACGACAATCGACAATGGACAACACTTCGATTTCCAGCAAGAACAACGAACGGAAAGCAGCGAAAAGAGCAAAGTGGGAGGATTCCTGCGAACGAAAGACCGGAGCAAAACGAGCAGGGAACTAACCAAGTCCAACCTACCCAAGATTTCCTTCCCTCTTTTTCACAGTGTCAAGTGTTACACGAAATCTGCAAATGGGAGGGGTCAATATTCAGGTCACGCACCACCCATACAAGATGCATTGCAGTCATTCATTCGGATAGGGGGTCTGCGTCACCTTGAGTCCTCTATCTAGTCCTGTCTCGTTCAGTTCAGTTGTTCTCCCAGTTCATCCTCCCCACAGTATTTCCTTCCACTTCCTTCCCTCTCAGCACCCCCGTCGCTCAGGGCTGGCTGACATCTGGCCAAAGTGCTTTACTCTCGCTATCTCATCAGATTCCCCCTTCCCCAAGATGGACTGCCCGGCCTGCTCACATCCACACAGCTCACAATCATGGATGGGATCCTCTACCCAGAGATTCTTTCCAGTCGCAGCCCTCATCAGTTACATGCTAGTCATGTACATATGTACTCGCGTAACACTGGGCTTCCATGTATGTATTTGTCATGTCCCTCATGTCTCACACACGTCGTTTGTCCATGTTTCCGAGTGGGACAGGGGTTGCTGAGGCAGTCAATGGGCTGGGGATATGAGGCTAGTAGCCCCTCTGTTCGCCTGGCTCGCTATTCTCTTTCTGGTTGTTCAGCAAACATGTGCTACGACGAGGTCAATAATCCAGTCCATCTGTCACCCATGTCAATCTGAGGTTGGTGACTTGGGTTGCCTATGGACATGAACACGGACGTGGAATTCCCTCTTTGAGCGAACATATGGATATTTTTTCCGCTTCTCCTTCATCTTTGACATGTTACCTTGAGCTCCTTTTCTGTCATGCATACGATCCATCTTTCCTTCAGCCTTGGGGGTACTTGTCTGCAAAGGCTTTTGTGCCATTCACATACAGGGCTACTGCCAAAGGGCAAACACACCTGAAGCTCTCGCACGTATGCTATACCTGATTAGGCACTCCCTTCGTGTTGTTTCCACTGTGCCTTGGTTTGTATTGACGGAGTTGGATGGCAGCTGGCACTGGGCACTGGGTGTACCTTATGTAGCTCTATCAAGGTCGAGGGAATGACGATGATGCTGTGTAAACGCCATCGATTCAGATACATGCTATGTTTTCTTTTTCCATACGTTTCGCTGTCGAAAACGGGCTGATAGTGCCAAACCGTTGTCTAGTCAAATCTTATTGGACACAAGCAGGAAAAAGATTCGTTTTCTCAGCACCACTTCCACACATGCTCTCTCGAAAGTCTTCAATGAGGAGGAGAGTCGGCCATGAGGCGAGGTCGAGGTTAACGCACTGTTTTGGCATCATTCTTTCTCATCGTCCTATCAGATTCCACTCTCATACCTATGGCGCATTTCTTCGCCCCCTTCTCCCAGACCCCAGACCAGAACCCCCACCCCTTCTCCCCTGGCCTTCTTTCACAAGGAGAGAGATCTACCTGCCAGCATCCGAACCGTGAGAAGACCTAAAGGCATCTGGACTTTGCAGACCTTTCTTGGTCTTCCTGCTCTGAGGTATTTCTCCATCCAAGAGTTGATGCAAGTATCACAAGCGACGGCGGGAAGGAAACCCTCAACTACCACAACAGCCGTCGCCCTTTTTTGACAGCGGAGCCAAATTTCGAAACAAATACGCTTTCACGCGATATGATGCTTCCTAACCTTGTATGCGCAACCTTCTGCTTGCTCCAAACCAAGGAGCTGGCGAACCGTCCAATTAGCCACTCCCTATTTTTGTGCACTTGCACTTTGTTGTACCACAGCTGGGGTCCCGGATTCATGCAGACATGGACAACAGTTACATTTCCTTTTCCCCTTGCCCTTCAGCATGGCACTGAGGTGGGCTTCCGATGGCTCGCTTCATCCAGAAGTACCCTAGCTTGAGTGCTCGTGCCAGGATGAGGCTGGGACTGGCCGTACTGGAGAAGCCAACGAAGACACAAGCGTTGCCCTATACCTCTCTATATGCCCCCTAGTCTGGCT